GGCCTCCAAGTCTATTTATGAGGTGATGAGCCACTGCTGGAGCATGGTTAGTATTTGACTGGGCAAGCACTGCTTCCCAAAAAGAGCTCTCTCTTCTTTGGCGTTTAGGAGAGAGTTTACACCTCGCATGCTAATACAAGATACAGTGCTGGAGATGAGGCACTTTGTAGCTATTATCTGTGTTAGCAAGATGAATTAAACCTTATGGTCTTTGCCTTTTATTTAAGCTGCTGTTTCTATAGAATGCATTGACATCACTGAACAGTCTATACAGTGCACCTAATTCAAGTTAATTCAGCATTTTGCTTCCTAAGAAAGCTACGAATCAGTGGTGCTCAGCTTTAACGTGGATGGTAAAAATGACAGCCTGCCCATTACAAAGTACTTAGCATCCTCTGGGGAAAATTCCCTGTTAGTAGAGAAGAATCAGAGTGCAGAAGGAGCATCATTCTTCTGTTGGCATTTTCTCTATAAGAACGGATTTTGTTTTTGTTAAAACTCGCTTTTTTCACAAGGTTCTCCTTACTAAACTCACCATACCTCCCAAACTGACATTAATATTCTCTCTCTCTCCATTTCACTCAGAGGAAAGAAGACCGCCCGTCCTTTTCTCTTCTGCTTTATCAGCTGAGTGAAATCTCTGAGTTTGATCTGTAATCATGGCACTGGATGCTACATGAAGCTAAGAAAGTCCTGATAGGGCAGACAGCTGGATTCTCCCCACACAGAGCATTAATGTGAATCCTTCCACCACAGAAACTTACTGTATGCCTGAGGAGAAGCAGAGGGCAGAGGCCCGTACTTCCAGACAGACGAGATATTCCCAGGTCTTCCAGAACACAGGCAGACATGAGGTTTGGCTTGGCCAAGAATGTTGTTTGCATCTTACAAGCAGAACCAGCAAATAAGCAGAAATTCCTGCAACATGTAACACAGCAAGTGTAATTCTCATGAAGATGCAGCCTCAGAACGAGGAGATCTGGCATTGATGTTCCATGTCTGCAAATTCCCAAATGAATGTCTCCCCTGGGAAAAAAAAACCTATCTTTGACTAAGGAGGAACACTTAGACTTCCATGGCTCTCTAATTCAGAGTGGGCTGGACCTGAAAGCTCTGAACAGGAATAAGCCTGGGGTACAAAGGAACAGCCTGGATTTAGTGACTGCATTTCTGATGCTGACATTTTAAGGTGGTTTTGTTCTCCCTTTATATGACTTCCTCTGAAACTGTGGCTTAACGGAAACAGGATTCTGATACCCTAAAAGATGAAGAGGTATCTGCAGTTTGTAAGTGCAGAAGAGGAAAGCAATGTGTTATAAAGTCTTGATATTCTCTCAAATTTCTACAGTGAGTGGGAAAATGGGACTCTGATGCACATCTAGATGTTCTGGGGGGCAAAAACTCAAATCTGAAAGTTTCTGTTGATTTTTTTCTTCAATCTTTCTAAACCAGAAGACAAATAAATAACCTCCACCAACTTCCTCTATCTGAGCATGGAGGACATGGCAGGGCAGAGCATTGTGTGCCTCCAGTCCAGGAGCAGAGAGGATCCCATGTCAGGGAGAGGCAGAGACACCTATTCCCAAAAGAGTGTGCCATGAGGAGGAAACATGCAGAGTGTGTGATCAGTGCACTAGTGCTAATGAGAAGTTTTACTTCAAAGAGTAACTGAATCATCACAAGAAAAGACTCTTCCATCTCTTCTGCAAACAAACTGGTGAATCTTCTAGGGAGTGATCAAAGAAAGAAAGTCTTATGCAAACAGACTGCCTTGATGCTCCAGGAGATCCATGTGGTGGGAGCAGAAGAAGGTATGAGCAATATCCATCTGTTGGTACTTCAGTTAACATCCACATCTCCACTGCAGGACAGACACTAATTTGACATGACTGACCTCCGAACCAGAAATGTGGGTGTTAGTGTCCTGCAGCATTTGTACATGGGATCAGGACTTTCTGCTAAGCATTAACAAGAACTAGAGAAGCAAAAGGGACTCACAGATGATATGTGCATGTATGTGAGATGTGTTTTTGATGTTTCTGTGTTTGGGCAAGCTAGGACATGGGTAAACGTTATGTGACAGCAGTTTACAGAAACTTTGAGGTTGAAATTTCTAGCAGCAATTCCTTCTGTTGTTACAGAAGTCAAGTTCAAAGATGTTTGCCAACAAAAATGGAACAAGGAAATACTGTAATCCCATGATCTCACATATCCTGTGTCAAACTATTTCTTCATAGAAGGAGGTTGAATTTGTGGTGTTTTTCAGATCCATGGTTCTAGAGTCACTTTAGGAGTCAGAATCCTTTCAGGCTTATATGTACAGGCAAGACATAGTTCCTGCCATATAGATCTTCCAACTTTGCTTTATTTCCACATTATTTACTGTGTTTTGCTCCTACTAATACCATCCAGAGTGACTCTCCCAAGCAAGGTGAATCCTAACATACGGACCAGAAGATGTCAATCCAAAGCATGAGGTCAGAGTGCCACCTTCAAGCCAGGACTTCCACAGAAATCTCTTAGCAGTCTGAACCAATATGTGGAAAATGAGCATCTATAAAACATCTTTAAATTTTTGCCTATGGTGAAGTTAAGCTAAGTTTCTCGCTCTCATCCTTTCAGTCCAAGTTAGCCTGTTGTCACGTCCCCGCGGTGCTAAATTTGGCATTTGGGCAGTGAAGTTTCCAGCAGCCCGACACGTGTTGAACGGCACGCTTACAGCTAAGTGCGAGGCCAGCTGGCTGTAACCCCATTTCTCCCCTGCTCCACTCACACGATCCGAACCACTGCAGGGCACCCTGGAATGGCTTTTCCCTGAGCAGAGGCACTCAGCCTGGGGCAGGGCTATCTGCGTGCTCACAAAGCCAAGCTTCTGGCTCTTTGGGAGCAACCAGGGATCTGATGAGACTGAAGAAGCTGCTATTGGGTAGCAGCACTATTGCTCTTTTAGGAAATATTTCTGAGATTATATTTATGTTTGATGAGATACATGTAATATTTATTAGCTCGGGTGCACTGCACAAAATATCATTGTCATATGTTTGGTCTTCATTAGCTGTATTTCTATGTACACAATATGTATTTTTACAGACAATAGAATTACTTTGTCCCATCTGTGGTTTTCACTATACATTAGCATCAATGCAAAAACCACTCGTGTGCTTTTATAATTGAACAGCCTGCCCTTTTTCATCCTTCCCACCAAGAAGCAAGCTGGCTTTCTGAAATATCTCCATTCCCCAGAGCTCTGGCTGTGTTCTGGGGTTACTTGACATGCTGGGTTCATGGGGTTAGGAAGTATCCATAATCTCAGCATATTGGGTAGTTTACCATATGGACACACAGATTTCCAAGTCTAAATGTCAGGTGTTATGGCTTTAACTTCTTCGGGTCCTTCTAAAACAGGGTTAATAATATCCAAGTTCTCCCAAAGGTATTTCCCCACTAGTATTTATGAGAGACTTCAAGAATCTGAAAAGGACAGTGCCATAATGTGACAAATGCACGGCGGTAAATCTATACACCATGTAGATACCTGCAGTGCTGTGGGGCCTGCCCCTCACTGCCAGTGCTTCCATCCAGCAGTGACCTACAAGATGAATGCAAGGAAGCTCATTCATTATTCAATGATCTAAGAAAGCACGGAGTAGAAAATTAATATAGTATCACAACACTTGTGGAATTCCCATCAGCCTGAACCTGGCTGATAATGGAAGCAAGGTTAAACAATATTAAAAAAAGAAACAACAACAATTTTTACTGCCATGGTTTTGTTGGACTGACTTTGTTTCTCCCAGTCTCGGAGCAACATTAGATGTTAGATCTCTTGGACCTGCAATAATAATGCTCACTTACTGAATTTTTCTGACAACAATAAATAGTAGAAAGGGGAACGATGGCTACGAAATATTTGAGTTACAAGTGAGAGAAAAGTGCAACACAGGGGAAGGAGAAGGGTTTGCTCCCAGAGATGCTATTAACAGAATTTTCTAGGTGTGGGTCTGTCTATTAACACAAAGACTGTTCCTCAGACTGTCTTTCTCCTTCTGCAGCTTGTGGATCCCAGTACCTTCAGCCCACTGTATCCATTCAGCTGACAGCAGCAGAGCTATAGGGTAGACCTGGTGTCCAGACTCCCCTGCAGAGTCAGCCAACATGGAGAGCCTGAGTCCAGAGCAAACTCAGCCCCAGGAGGGCTGTGATCCAAGGGGCAAGTGGCAGCCCACTGTGAGCAGAGAATGGTGCTCAGGAAAGGCACACTGCCAAGGGAGCTAAGGAAATTTATCTAGACATTATATACTTATATTTTAAGACCGTCAGTGGTCCTTGGGTACCCATCAGTGTCTTTCTAGAGGCAGCAGCAGGAGCTGGGAGCACTGCCTGAAATGACCAAAGCCCCGCGAAGGGCTTGCATCAATGACCACGGGGAGCTGCTGCTCTGGAGGCTGTAAGAGATCCAGTTTGGATTTCACGCTGGATCCGAAGAGCTTTAGAAAGCAGCATGAGCAGAAGGACAGGAAACTTGTCAGTGAAGAAATGCCATATGCCCAAAACGCCGAAAGGAAGATCTTTCGGATGCAGAGCTGACTCAGACAAGGCTCGGAGCTGCAAGCCAAGGCACTGATTGCCTCCTGCTTTAGGTCCCTTCCAGCTCAGGTTTCACAAGCACGCTACACAGCAGGCTGTCAAGAACACGGTAGGTAAAACGTAACGGCGGTACAGCTCCAGGAGGAGCGGAGAGGCTGCAACCCGAAGCCCCGCAGCAGCGCGAACGACGAATCCCGGCCGGGCTCTGCCCGTCTGGGGCCCCCACCGCACTCCCCCAGCGCCGGGGCTCCCGGGGGGGATGCGGTAGCCTTCCTGCGCCCCGCTCTGGGCCATCCCCGGCGGAGGGGCGGGGATGCGGCCCCACGCATCCCCCGGAGGAGGAGCGCACGGCTCCAGCCCTTCCCGCGGCGGGGGCCGGGGCTCTCCCCCCGCCGCCGCCACCACCAGCACCGCCGCGCGGAGAGGCCGGCGGAGAGCCGCGGAAGTGCACTTGCTGCAGCCATTTCCTTCTCTTTGTGCGGGCGGCGCGGAGCATCCGAGCATCGCCTCCCCGAGCCCCGAATCCAGCGCCAGGTGAGCGGCACGGGGCTGGGCGCTGCTGCGCGGGGGCTGCGCGGCCTCAGCCCTTCGCGGCCTGGGGCTGCGCTCCCCGGTAATCCTCCGGGGGGAACAGCGGGGTAGGGGTGCCCCCGCCGGGCAGGTGCTGCCTCTCCGGGTAGGGGCAGGGCGGGCGGCCCGGTGGGGCCGCGATGTGCAGAATGTATCCCATAATGCTCAGGGCTACCTGCAGCGTTTATTGCGAGGAGCTGGAAGAGGAGGAGGGGATGGGAGGGAGGGGAGAATCGCAAAATAGCAAAAAATAGGAAAATAGCAAAAAATAGGAAAATAGCACAGATCTCCTTCTATCTCCATCCTTGCACCGAGGGAGGGGCATAAAGCCGAGCCCCGGGCCCGGCGGGCGCTGCAGGCCCCGCTGCGAGCGGCAATGGCAGCCGGGGGGCGGCGATGCTCCGCGGGAGCAATGGGGCCGGAGGGATGTTGGTTGGGGGGGTGAGCAGGCGGCCGAAGGTGCGGGCTGAGGGTCAGCGCCGGGTGTGGGGTGATGGCAAAATGATGAGCAAAGCGGCCCTTCCCGTGCGCGGGGCCGCCTGCGAGCGAGATGCATCTCTTTCTATTGAACTTCGCGGCGGAGGATGCTGTTGGAAACACAGTGCCAGTGCCACCCGCATCCTAGTTGAGCAGGGAACGCGGCAGGAAATCTCCGTGGGTTGCAGAGCTTGGGGGGGGACTGGGGCGGAAAAGGGACACGTGCTGGAACCCTGCCGTTGTCTGATTTGGGGAAGGGGCCGGTTTGTGTGCCGTTAGGGACGCTGCCAGCAGCAGAGCTTGGCCTCTTTGCCATCTGCCGCTTTCCGCGGGGGTTCTGGCCTTGGCCTCAGATCACAGCCATTTCCTGCAATTAAGATGGGCTGCACCCCAGCAACCCTCCTGCCCTGCACCTCTCCTGCCCCACAGCCTTGCTTTGCACGGTGGCAGTTGTTGCCAGGGGTTGGTCACTGCCAGCAGAGACTGCCTGCTGTGTTGGTGTCTGTCACTGCGTGTTATTCTAGGGCAGTTCCCTACAAAGGATAATTCCTTTCTCCTTTTCTCTGTACAGCTAATTGCTATTAGTGAAGCCTGAGGAATATGGAAAAGCCTTCCATTTTCTTACTCAGGTCTTGAGCAAAGCTCAATATCGTGATATCACAATAATTTTATTAACAAACAATTACTGTCTTTGCACGTAAAGAGGAAGATCACTTTTGGAACATTTCTAATTATTCAACTACTAACAACACTGTTCTGTATGATATTATCTCCCAATAAGTGCTTTGACTGTCAGCAAAGGATCTTGCTCACAAACTTGCTTTACACTTCTCTGCTATATTGGAAATGCAGCTTCCTATAGCAGCCTTTTTCCTTGGCCAGAGATAAATGAAGTTATTCTATACGAAATAAATTCCAAAATAACGATGTTGCTCAGACAGAGATGCTCAGATATCTGGAGCTCAGCCTTAGTGGGATGGCAGCAAATTTAGAATGCAAATGCAGACTGCTTCAGGAGTGGGTGCAGTTTGGCTTCCTTTTTTTGTCAGGATAGGTAATTTCAGGGTTATTAATGGCTGTGGCTGTGGAGGGCAGCAGCCCAGCTCTGCTCATCCTGGCTGTGTTGATTTGCTCATGCAAAGAACCTCCTGACTGTGGTGGTTGCAATTCCAAGTAAATCTTACAGTATGTGAGGAGACTGCTGATGATATGCATCCTACAACATAGGGGATGTTAATCCTGTTCTTCTGGGGCAACAGTATAACAATCCTTTTGCACTGTGGAATCCACTCTGCTTTACCAAAATCCATTGCTGTCCAGCAGCATGTATACACCCTTCTCTTGCAATGAAGCCATGGGCACCAGAAATGTGGTGCTATGTATCCAGGATGTTTGCCTGCTGGGGTGTTTGCTGGGCCAGGGTGGTTTCTGACCATGAGTTAAATGATTTTTTTGAGTAAAAGGTGAAACTTTTATCACAAGGCACAATAAGTTAACGTGGCTTTCCCAGGTTACACAGCAGAAGCAGCACCAGATCCTCTGGGAGGTGTTTTCCTCCTTTTCCTCCATGTCACCACCTCTCCAGCAACAGTCATTTTGCAGCAACTCACCCCAGGCTTGCAGGGCTTGGATCTCAAATGACTGGCAGTCTACAGAGCAATTGTTGCTGCCTCTCCTGTGATTGGCAGCTCCTGCAGCTCCAGTGTGAATGTCTGCTGTGGGAGCAGGAGTGCTGAGCACCTGAAGCAGCCCTTCCACTTCCCCACAGCTCTCAGCTGTGCAGCTGTGAAGCCAAGCGCACATGAATGCAACATACTCATTATGGCCCCACTTTCAAAAGTCTTCCTTTGTTCCCCCAAGCTGCCTTGATAGTGAAGTCTCCTTTGTTCCTCTTGCTGTGAAGATGATGATATTGCACAGATAGGAAAGGTAGGACTGGGCTGCAATGACAAACTCAGCCATCTGGGATGTCCATGGTTGCTCCTTCCTGAAGCCTTCCTCCAGACTGTTAAATCCAGCCCTCTGTTCTCCTAACAGATTTACCTGCATTTCAGCTTTGGGGTGGGGGACCTGGGGCTGCAGTCCTTTGGCACATGGGCTGGGGAGCACTGAACATCACCGTGGCAGTAGGAGGAGGAAGTTTTCTGCAGAGGACAGGCAGAGTGTGGGCAGCAGAGTGCTCATTAGCGTTAGTAGTATCAGCCTCATGGCCCCAGGGTTTCCCTAGGATGGGGCTGGCTCCTGCAGGGCGCAGTTCCACCAAAAATGCATGGGCTGGCGGAGCTCCAGTGGCTGGATATACAGAACAAAATACTTTAGAGAGGCAGCTTCTAGCAGCCTGGCTTCACGCAGGCAGGATATGTTTCCTGTGCGAGGAGGAAAGCCTCACCCGTCTGCACACGGGCATGGGGCAGCAAAAAAGCCCTGTGTGGGGCACGCTGTGCTCCACCCCGAGCAGCGATGTGCGCTGGCACAGGAAGCGCTGCCGATACACCGCAGGCACCGCTCACAACCCGCACCGTGCCCCTTCATCTGCTTTGGCTCTGCCGTTCTGCTGAAGAAAGCATACAATTGAAATTGGGTTCACGGGGATGTTACAATGAAGATTCATCTGTTAAAACCAGAACATTTGTGCAGTTTTGTCACCTGGATCCTCTTTCTTGCACAGCTAAGCACGGGGCAGGCTGTGCTCATGGCTGTTTGCTTGCTTTGCTCGATGCTTCCTTTTCTGTTCATTATTTCCACACTGCTGCCTCCTCCCTTCCTGCGTTTGAGTGCAGGGCCGTTGTCTTCCTGCAGGTTTGTGCAGTACTCTGCACTTGGGTCTGAGATGCTGAGTTGGGAACCAGATCTCCTGCTACAACCCGAAAAACTTCCCACTGCCTTGGGGAGGCATTTGTGGAGATGACACGGGTTTTTCCAGACCCCTCTGTGCTCTCAGAGCTCCTGCTGCAGGCAGCAGCAATGAGAGGCACAGCTTATCCCTGCCCTCACCCAGCATGAAGCCACTCAGGTCTGCATGCATCCATCCCTTTGGGCCGCATTTCTTACTGAGTGTGTACGCGTGTGTGTATCTATGGACAACCCAAAGCCATTGTCCTTCCATGTTCCCAGTGCTGGAAATGAAAAACAAACTTATAGTCTGGGAAGCAGTGACTCAATTAAAAAAACAAACAGCAAAAAAAATGGACCTAAGGGAATTGAGGCAGATAATCAGCTGAGCAGGAGTGCCTGTAGGACTGCTGTTGTGACCAAAGGAGCTGATGTGGCGGTGCATGAGAAGGTACACTGTGCTGCTTTTGTGACTGGTGTTTGTGCAGACAGTGCTGGAGCACCGTGTCCTGCTATGCTGTCTGCACCTCACCAAAAAAGCTGCAAAATTGGAAAATGGGATCAAGCTTAGAGAAAAGCCAAAGAGATGATTAAAGGACTGGGAGATGTGCTCTGTAACAAGGCATTGAAGAGCTCAGCCCACTTGCCTGAGCTAATTCAAAGGTTGTAGGGTGTTCCTATTGAAACCCGGGAGTATCCTCATGAAAACTTTGCTAACAGAGCTCTACTGTCTTGCAGATTAAAGTGATAAATTCAGTTCACATTTGAAACTAATTGGGTCCAACTGAAAAAAAAAAAACACACAGTTTTTGAAAGGGGAATGATCTGCTAATCCAGCGACACGTCAACATTTAAAGCCATTTCTCTCCTTTCAAATGTTTAAGTGCAACTGAGTTTTTTCTAGGAGACACACTCCAGGTCAGCACAGCCATTGCACAGGGATTAGGCATTAACTAGAGGAGCCCTGTGGTTGTGGTTATACAAGTGCTCAGCCTGAAGGACAGCAGGGTCTGTCCATGGTGAGGCATTCACTGCAAAGGTGAAGAGCAAAAGAGATCAGGGACTCTTTTTTGGCCTGTGTTTCCTGCTGACTTGGCTGAGCACAGAGGTAAGCAGCAGTGAGCTCTTTCAGAAACATTTCCCTTTGTTTTTTGTATTGTATGCAGCTGGCACCATCTCACAACACAGCTGGTGGCAGCTCCAGGGCAAGCAGGGCCTGACCAGGGGACGCACTGCACTGTAAAAGCAAATAAATACTTTTTTTAACCACCTCTTTTTTTTCACTGCCTAAGCCGTCCAGAACCTGATCCTTTCCAGTTCACCTGCAAAAATTGCTTTGTTGTTTACAGTTTCCAGTGCCTCCTCATGTAGGGAGGGCACCATGTGAGTGTCAGCTCTGCTCATGCTTTTCTCATTGCACTGCTTCGAGAGACATTTTTGAAAGCACCGCTTTGCATCTCACGCTTTCACTTCAGGCTGCTCAGGCTGCACCGCAGCACCCAGCTGTTCTGCACAGAGCTGAGCACAGAAGGAGTTGGGTGGGTGGCTGTGTTCCTCTGATTCTGCATTCCTGCTCTGTTATTGAATTGTGGAAAGGGAGATGACACAGAGATATAGGTTAAATACACAAGAAAAGGAAAACAAGATAAACTAGGATTGTGTCCCCTGCATTGCAAGGCAGGCCTGGTTCCAGTTTAGTCCTTTGGTGCTCTCCCACTCAGTTTTCTGGCTGCTTTTTGTCACTCTCTTTTTTTCTTTAGATCTAGTGTGGAAACTGAACAGCTGGCACCATGACGACCCACGTCACGCTGGAGGATGCCCTGTCCAATGTGGACCTGCTGGAGGAGCTGCCGCTGCCGGACCAGCAGCCATGCATCGAGCCACCTCCTTCCTCCATTATGTACCAGGTACCCACAGCTTCCAGACCCACAGGGCACAGAGGCTGTTCTGCACAGCACAGGGGCACGTGGTACTGGGAGAAGGAGGAGAAAGTGCTTCCAGTCAGAGTGTTAGAGGAAATGTTCAGAACAGATCGAGCCACAGCTTTGCTGTCAGAGATTGGGAAAAGGGTTCTTAACACTGGGCAAGTCATAGGGAAGTTAAAAATGAGGACCAGAGTGTACGAATGGATAAGAAGCCAGAGATTGAGATTCGTGATAACAACAGGAGGTTCTCAGCAGTGTTTTATTATGTGTGTATTTCTGCACTTCCTTTAAATGCTAAGTGCATGTGTCTAAGTAGGTCAGAATCAGAGTTCAGCCTGAATTTGTCTGTCCCATGCTGTGCATGCAGCTGGAGCTGCAGGGAGGGCAGGCAGCAGGGTGGTGAGGCACTGGCACAAGTTGACCAGAGAGATGGGGGTTCCCCCTCCCTGGAGATACCCATGGTCAGGGTGTAGGTACTATGAGCACCTGATGGAGCTGCGGGTGTCCCTGTTCATTGCAGAGGAGTTGGACCAGGTGGCCTTTAAGGGTCCCTTCCACATCAAACGAGTCTACAATTCTGTGATAACCACTGCTCTGCCTCAAGTGACCACGGATTCATCTGCAGCTGTCCTGCCCAAGTCTGGCATGGGCCCAAGAGAAGGCTCAAAGCACTGCTTTTGGACCCACAGCGGGATGCCACGACTGCTTGCCCACCACACCCTGTCCTATAGCACACTCCCAGGATTAAATATAACACTGGGTTACTTTCTCCATCCTGCCACTCCTGTCTGCACGCCTTACTGTGGTCATGCATAAATGCAACCTTACGGTGATTGCTGTGCTGCGTGTGCATGGTGCTGGAGTTACAGTATCTCTTTCAGCAGGTCAGACTGCGGGCTTGTTCACTAGCATTGGTATCCCTTGGGGTTATCAGACCCAAAGGCATTTCTGGGCTGTTCAAGTTTCAGCTCTCTCTGGAAAATCTTAGTAACATTTTAACATCTATCTTCACAAATTAATTTTTAGTCTTTGCTGGCCTGTGGCTCATGAGAGGCTCAGGGTCCTGACCAATGGCACAGCTTCACTTGTGCTTCATGGCCATAAGCGTGTGCCCTCCGCTGGGCGTGTAAACCTCATTGAAACCATGACAAAACTGGATCTGGAGGTATTCACGGAATTGGCCAAGCCTGGTTCCTCATCATACCTGCTTTGGGGTTAGCACTCTCCCTGCTACTCAAAAATGCACTTGCAGCCTGAGGTTTGCTGTTACGTTAATCACATTAGGGTCATAGAGGCATGAAGAAAAGCAGCTCTAAGGCCACAGCTCTGTGCTCCCAGCTCAGCTGCTCAGGAAGTCAGTTATTGAGGTGAACACAGTCAGTGCGCTGCTGATGACATCGCTCTGTGCACTTGGGACCTGTGTGTGCTCTGCCTTGCAGGAGATAGCATCAGTGTGCCTTCGCAGAGGAAATTGCCCAAGCCCAAAGCATGTGAATGAGGCAGAGGAGCTATGCTTTCACCTCCTGCCTTGCTTTGCACTTTCTTACTGCCACGTCTACATGCAAAGCAGTAGCTCAGGTTTCACAGCTGTTTCTCCCAAAGCATCAGCTTGCGAGAGCAGCACTAGCACTAAGCGCTGAGTGCTGACTTTCACATTTATGTTTCCCAGACATCTCTTTCCCTGCTATTTCTATGTTTATCCTTTGCAATTCCTGCTGACAGGATGTGGTCTTCCCCTAGCATCCAGGACACAAATGGAAATTAATGAGGTTGCAACTTTCTCTGAGTTAGAAGACTGAAGTCTTTCGTATACTTGCTACAGGTTTGCTCACTGGTGTGGCTGCAGTTGTGTGTAACTGATCACCACTGGATTGGCTTGATTTTAGAAGGCTTTGTCAGTCTCAATGGCCACATCTTCACATCCATCATCTGCAGGGTTTCCTCTAATGAACATGTGGGATTCAGATACACTGCAAACTGTATATGTCTATATATGTGTATAGTTTATCCCTAGAGATGCAGTGATTTCCAGCACCTCCAATTCATTATGGGTTGACCCCTATGTCCCAAGAGCCCTCCTGCTTCTTCCTGTGCCTGCTGGGAGTTTTCTTGCCTATACTTCTAAAACAACTTGACAGTGCATGGCATCAGGTGAGCAAACATCTAGCTTGTGCATATTTTAATCCTCATCTCCATTTCACCCATAGGCTAATTTTGACACAAACTTTGAAGACAGAAATGCCTTTGTGACTGGAATCGCCAGGTACATCGAGCAGGCAACAGTGCACTCCAGCATGGTGAGTTCCCAGGCACTGCCCAGCAATGCCACACCACAGCGTGTGCCTTGCCCCAACAACACCTCTCTGTGTTTCAGAATGAAATGCTGGAAGAAGGCCATGAGTATGCCGTGATGCTGTACACGTGGAGGAGCTGCTCAAGAGCCATTCCCCAGGTACGTATGGTTTTATCTTCAATGTGGTCAGTTTGGGGTGGAGGCCAAAAAAAAGCAAAGACTGAAGGGGGTAGAATGGTTGAAAACAGAAACCGTAGACTCTTCAAATTGCCTTCCTCTCCCCATCAAAGTCTCAACCACTAATCCCTGCAGCAAGTAGCCACTCCAGAAGAAGCACACCCTACTGCTGCCCTAGGAAAGGACTCTGCTCTGCACCGTCATGTATAGAAGATACAGCAGCTCCATCCCTGACATCTCTTAACAGTACCTCTCAGCTATATATATATTTTCTAGTTTCAGGAGCCTTTCCTCTGCTCTCTCAGAAGTCATGCTTGAGGTCACTTTACCCCTGCAGGGCCAGCAGGGGTGAAGGACACACTCAGTGTCAGGCAAAGGCAGGGAGGTAGTGGAGTCACTGTCCCTGGAGGTGTCCAAAAATGGAGATGTGGCACATGCTTAGTGTGCATGGTGGTGATGCACTGACAGTTGGACTAGACGATCATAGTGGTCTTTTCAAACCTTAATGATTCTGTGATTGCATAAAGAAGCAATATGGCCAGCACCACGTGAGAGCAGCAGGTGCTCTTGAGACATGGCAGACCTGGGCTGTCCCTGCCTTGCATGAAGCAGTGGGCAACTGGGGCAGGTTTCCACGTCACCAACTGGTACCTGGATGTGGGGGCCCTTTCTATTCCAAGGGGAACCCCAGAAGGATTGATGTTGTGTGAGGGTGCGTGAAGGAGCTCTTTGCTATATCGGAAGCATTTCTGGAGTGAATATCTGCTTCCTTGTCAGGACACAACCAAATGTCCTATTTTGCTGTTGATGTACCTGAACATCCCAGGCTTAATCATTCTCCCCTTCTACTGCAAGTTCTGTTTCAAATGTTTTTCAGTCCTTCTCCAACCTGAATTTTGTTGGTTCCATCCTTCAAACACCTACAAGCATGAGTAAGATTGCCCACATGGCCCACTGAGCTGTGATTCAGATTCCAACACAAAGCTTGTCTTCTGCCACGTGAGAGCTCACTTCATCACTTCAGAAATGCAGGCTGACAACACTGCAGGCAGATGTAGCACACTTGCATTAACCCTACTGATTAAAGGGTTTGCAGGGCTTCCATGGAGCTTGGAAAAAATATTTCTGCATGGCTGGCATTGCCTGTGTTAGCAATTCCCCAGGAAAGGTCAAATCTCAGTTCCCGCGGGTTATATTCTGCTGATGGTCTGATGAGACCCAGCCATGGGGAGACTGCTGATGCTGATTAGATTTTTGTTTATCTCCCATTTATATTTGCTGCTGTGCTGCTCTTGCCTTTGCTGGTCATGCTAGCAGAAGGCAGGCCATGGCTGAGTTGTTGGCAAGACAAGATATGAGTTGTGAACTTGGGCAGGGTTTGAGTACTATGGATCATCTTCCGTTTTGGAGTTTAGTGTCCTCCCATCCCTACTGCTCCTGTGATTTTCATACCACCTGACAGGGCATGAAACCTGTGGGGTGGCTGCTCTCCCCAGTCCTTCTTTGCTGAACAGAGGCTGAGGGCTGTTTTGTAGTGACTCTGGCAGCTGCCCACATGTAAAGCTTGCTGATTTGTCCCCCTCACGCACTGTAGATCGACTGCTGGGCTGCTAAATTTGTACCAGAGCTGTGAGCTCCATCACAACTTTGTGTCAGCAACAACTATAAACAAAATACACCCTAGGAAGGCCTTTGGAATCCATTCCCTGACAAAGAATAACAGCAGTGAAATGCATTTTGTAGGGCAGCCAGGGATTTTCCTGAAAGTTTGGTGATGACTCCACGTCATCATTTAGAAATGAGGTGGGTGACAACTGGATACATCTTTCCTTAAATGTGGCTTCCTAGGACTGATATAGGTGAACTCACTTCATTGCTGCTAGCCACATCCAAGCCCAGGGATTTTTAATGGTTCTTCAACAGAACAAAAATTATCCCAGCAGAACTAGAGCAGAGCCACGGCATGGTGCCTTGTGTGTACAAGGGACTTTGCAACACAAAATCTTCAATAAATCCATGATGAAACATTCCCACATCGTGTGGGTAATCCAGACTCTGTATTTTATATATTCTCCCGAGAAGTGCATTAGAAAATTTTGTTTCTCAGAGTCAGGATTGTGCCTTTTTATAACACATGGAGAAAATTTCATATTGGAGAAATAGCCCCTTCTGACATCACCTTTTGCCTTGAAAAAAATCTCCTTCTTTGGTCACTCCATTGTCCTCAAATGGGGACAGTGCTCAGTGTGAAACAAGCAGAAAGGCAGTGGCTGTTGCAAGACCACAGCTGTGTCAGAAGTATTAATGCTGACAATCATCATTTGTCTTTGCAGGTGAAATGTAATGAACAGCCAAACCGAGTGGAGATTTATGAGAAGACAGTAGAAGTTCTGGAGCCAGAAGTCACCAAGCTTATGAAGTTCATGTACTTTCAGGTAAGCAGTCAAAGAAGTTGACAAAAATAATGTCTTTGGTTTGGGGTTCTTCAGTAGGGCCAGCATAGATCACTCTGCTGTTCCTCCATCTGAAGCAAAGCCAAAAAGAGCTGAGGGTGCAGCTGGTGCATTCATTCTGGCCATTTTACCTGGCCCTGTACTTTGGTGTCAAACACCAAAGCTAACAGTTGCTACGTTTGAGATGCATGAGAAAATAACGCACTCAAATCCCAGCAGAGCAGTGACCACAAAGCAAACAGAGCTGCTGTGGGCTGAAGGGAGCTTCCCATGTCATTGCTTGTGTTTACACCTGGCTGCAACTGGGTTTCACTACTGTCTTTGGGTTTTATGTCTCATGATATCTTAATGCTCCACCTAAAGAGCCAAAGCATGATTTGACAGATCATGCTTCTCTCTGGGCAGGCTGGGCAGAGGATTGAAGGCTCCTCCTTCCTCCTCCCTCCAGCATGGAGGACATTTATTATAGGGGTCTGTAATGCTGCATCATTTCATGGTGACAACAGAGCGAGACCCTGGAGCTGCCATCCCACCAGGAGAAGGAAGGGGATGGTGGCTGTAGGGGTGGTGGTTTGCATGTGCTGACCCTGTCCCACCGCCTTCCAGCGCAAGGCTATTGAGCGGTTCTGCAGTGAGGTGAAGCGCCTGTGCCACGCGGAGCGGAGGAAGGACTTTGTCTCTGAGGCCTACCTCCTCACCTTGGGCAAGTTCATCAACATGTTTGCTGTCCTAGATGAGCTGAAGAACATGAAGTGCAGTGTCAAAAATGACCACTCAGCCTACAAAAGGTGAGGGGCAAGAAGCAGGAAGAGCAGGGCTGAGCCTGTGCCTGGTCTGGCAGTGGACATTTCCCACAGTGGGATCAGGCAGATACAGGGGGGTTGGAGGGTGGTTATCTGTGCTGTTGTGGTCTCTTTGTGAGAAAAAGACCGAGCTCCTGTGTGTTTCAGTTCCCTGTTGGTAAAATGAGGAAAGGGAAAAGCTCTGCTCAAGGCGAGCTCTGATGTTGCTGCTCTGCAGCTGCAAGTGAAGTGAGGAGGATGGGTGGTGAAAGCCTGGCGCTGGGCAACAGGTCATGGTGATGGTGAATTTCTCTCATTCAGAGCTGCCCAGTTTCTGCGGAAGATGGCAGACCCCCAGTCCATCCAGGAGTCCCAGAACCTTTCTATGTTCCTGGCAAATCACAACCGCATCACACAGGCAAGTCCCGTTCCTCTGAACCAGTTGATCCTTCCATGCTTCAGGTGCTTCAGGCTGGACTGCAACAATATCTGCCTTTTTCGTTGGGTCATTTCTGATGATTGTTGGTGTCTGGGTCAGGCTGCATAAGTCTAGTAATAATTCTCTCCATGGGGTTATCCTGGGTAGCTTAGGAGTTCTCTTCATGTCAAGACAAGGATAAAGCTCTAAAAGATGCAAGAAGAGCTCTCAGGAGGCTTTCTACCATAAACCTTGCCCCTATTTTTCTCCAGAAATCCATCCAGTCTGTCTCTGCAGCTGCGCAGGGATTGCAGATCAGACACAAGGGATCTCCGCACTCCACAGGGTCTATAGATTCTGCTAATTAGATAAAATATTGCACAGAGACAAGAGACAGTCAGAAGGTATGCTCCTGTGCAAACTCTTTTTTTCATCTCACTGTCTGATGCTTGGCTGCTGTCATCAATCTGAAAAGGAGAGCTCTCCTACAGAAGGTGTTTCTTTATAGGTGGTACCATGAGGTCAATCTTCTATCTGTAACTCAAGAAAAGTGCAGACGGGGTTTTAGGAAACCTCATTATCTTCTTAATCTTTCAAGTATGCTCCCACCTCTGGAAACGTTCCTGCTCTTCCTCTGTCCATGTGGATAAAGTGTCCCTTGTTGCTGTTTCAGTGTCTGCACCAACAACTAGAGGTTATCCCTGGCTATGAGGAATTGCTGGCTGATATTGTCAACATCTGTGTGGATTACTATGAAAACAAGATGTATCTCACACCCAGTGAGAAGCATATGCTTTTAAAGGTGAGGTTTGGCTGTACTTACAGAGCTGGGCGTTTCGGTAGTTCCACTTTCTATTTAGTAAAGTGAAATTCCCTTCCAAGACAATGCTTCTCTTCATTTTCTTTATTTTTTTCTCCTTTGGGTTTACATGCATCCCTTTTCTGAAGAGCCAATATTTTATGGGCACACAGCTTGCTTAGTTAGTATGTTTGTCCTTATTGTAAGTCAGTTATTACAGTGATTACAGTGAGTCAGCTTAGATTCTTTGAAGGGTAATGTGGGTAGGTTTAATATCTATAATGATTTGCACTGAATTAAGGAGAAAAAATCAATTCAGGGGAATATTTTAGATGTTTTCAATTTTCTGGGAGCAAATGCTTGCCTAAAATATGAGTGGAGAAGAATTTGGGATTGTCTTTATTTGTGAGAGAGGAGGAACAATTGAGAACCATGCATTTTTGCACAGAAAACAGAAGCATTCCATAATGTGTATTCTACCTACCACACACATTCCTTGCAAACGTGCACATTTTATACCGTTTTCTCCGTGAGTTCCAGGTGGCACAGGATCCTGAAGAGGGTTTGCTAAGCAAACAAGAATTGCCTTTGACTTATTAAGTTAATGAGACTTTGCCTTTCTGTCTTCTTCAGGTGATGGGGTTTGGTCTGTATCTTATGGATGGGAATGTCAGCAACATCTACAAACTGGATGCCAAGAAGAGAATCAACCTTAGCAAAATAGACAAATTCTTCAAGGTCAGTGACCCGTCTGGGTGAGACTGGAGACCAATGAACTACCAATCTATATCATTGCAGATGCTACCAACAAAAAAACACGGGAGTAATTTATAGTTACAAAAAAAAAAAAAAACCCTAAAGGATCAAGGAATTATCGAGACAGAAGGATGAGGAGTGGGATTGTCATGAATGTGAATAGGCACAGAGGCACAGCATGAGAGAAATGGGAGATGATGGCCCTTCTGTCAAGGGTTGAAGGATGGGAATGGCACAAGGAAGGTCTGTTTTGTGGACAAGGGAAAAGTATGCCAGGACAATATCCACATCTAGCTTGGCACAGTTTTCAGGCTGGGCTGCAGTCTCCTGAAGAGCACCATGATTTTTTAGTGGGTTTGCCCTGTCCCTCACCTCACTGCTGAGCTGGCATGTTGAGGGACAAGGGACATAGCTGGCCAGCCAACATACCATTGGCAGTCTCACCTGGTATATAAGCTGTTCCTTGTAAAAGACAAAAAGCTACTTGGGGAGCTTGTATTGGTTGGAGTCTGCAGGTGTTCAGAGAGCTCCTCAGGGGGCTGAGATTTGGTGGTTTGATGAGTCCTTTTTGTTTTATCTGGGATCAGGTTTTTGGGGAAAGGTCTGCAAGAGCTGGGCACTCCGAAGGCTTGGTGGGAAGCAGCTGTGCAGCCTCCTTCTGCCCCTTCTCCACGTGCAGCTGGATTCAGCCCTGGGCTGTTCCCCAGACCATATGGAGGAAAGCATTGCCACAGGCTGCTCAGCACAAGAAACATTTGGGGTAACCCTGTCTGCTTCCTCCCCAAATGTGTGTATGCAAGCTGTCATTGACATGTGGAGAATAGGGCTGACTTTGCATTGTCTTTGCCTGATTACACGGTTTGCTTGAGCTCAGCACACTACAAGCATCTCCTGGGCACTGGCAGGGTGAGATGACTTCTCCTGCCCTTTGGTTCTGTGCACAGGTTGAGTCTTGGAGACTTTCCAGGTTTGGGGCAGGTCAGCTCACGTTGGGGTCTGGCAAGGGACAGGTGTGTTGGTGAGCCTGGATGGCTGGTTTCATGGAAGGCTGATGTACCTGCTGCTGCATCCTCACCTCAAGTGAGTGAGGAGCTGTTTACCCATATTTGTGTCATCTCCCAGAAACAGCAAGACTCAAACACTGCCCATAGGGAACTACAGAAACCACAACCTCACAGACGGGGGAGATAATGGGGTGGCTGAATACTTCCCAGTCACCAGGGAGATGGCTGAGGACTGCAGCTTTGCAAAAGAGATTTATCATGACATCTCTTGGAGTTTTCTGAGTTTTTTTTCTGAGTTCACTTTTGCTAGTTTGACTGAATCTTTGCCTCAGTTTAAACCAAGTCTTCAGCATAATCTGTATTGTTTGGTCATCTTGCTGCACTTGAGCACATCCGTGATTCATTGAAAAAGGTTGTGGTCCATTAGAGAAATGGACTAGTACAGTATCTTCCACTGCATGGAATAACTTTTTCCTTTCCAGCTTTTTTCTGTGAGCTCTTCTCCAACATCTGCTGTGGTCTCACCCAATGAGTTAAGTACCACTCCAGACTATCAGATCTCACTAAGAAAAGCCAACTGCTCCTCTTACTACATCTGCTTACTGCCTTCTGATTAAATTTTTAGTGGATTGACAGGAATTTGAGTAGCGAAAAGGAACAACCCTTTCATTTAAACTGCTTAGGAAAGTGCCACTGGGAATTCCTGATGACAGCATTGCACATCCTCCACGCAAGCTAGCCTCAGAAAAGTAGCGTGTGATAATAAGACAGTGAATTTGCCACCTTATTCTTTGATTTTTGGGGCTAGACTTCTTCTAGGTGAAGCTGAAGCTTCAGTTTTTATTGAAGAGCTGTAGGAAGCTCTCGATTGAATTTTGCTTGCATCTGAAAGCTTAGCCTAGGGGAGGCCTCTGTGAGCTTCAGACATGTTCAGTGCACTTAGAATTTATTTCCCATCAAAATCCTCCTGAAATGTACAGGGGGAGTAGAGCTGTGTTGAAATGCAAGCAGACAATGACTGTGTTTTTCTTTTTGTGGAGAATCTGTAAGACACATCACTAACAACCACAGTGCCAAAGTAAAATCTGAGTTCCCTGGAGAAAGAGGCCACATCTCCAGCAGCGCAGAGCAGCCTACACCTCCCCTCCCTGCCGTGCTGCCAAGATACCAATGTGCCAGCTTTTATCCCTCTGTTCTCCCTGAGGTTTATGGTGGGAGGAAGTAAGCCCCTGTGAGAAATATGCTTCTCTCCTAGTGGTGTAAAATGACCCTTTTCTCTCACAGCTTATGCTGGTTACAGCATTCTGGCAATAACCAAGCCAGTAATGGCAAGCCCATGGCTCCAAAGCACTCACAGTGGCCCAAACCCTCTGTGATAGTTTTCAGTCAGTTCCTAAGTGTGAAAAGATCCCACATCCAGGTTTGAACAGCCTGGAGCTTCAAAGCTGCAGAATGCCACTTCCTCATCCCTTGCATCACCTTAGGGACTCTCTGCTGCGTTTCAACCATCTTTTGTTTTCTTTTCCAGCAGCTGCAGGTGGTTCCTTTATTCGGCGATATGCAGATAGAACTGGCCAGATACATTAAGACCAGTGCTCACTATGAGGAGAACAAATCCAAGTGAGTGCCTGCCATAATGTCTCTTGGCTTCTGTGTGTGTCCTGAAAGCTGTGGGAGCTGCATCTCCCTCCTCGGCGTGCGTGAGGTCTGTGCACAGGTACCTGTGTGTGTGTCCCCGGGGGCTGCACACCCAGCGTGCCTGACTCTGTGTGCACGTGTGTACCTGTGTGTCCCTGCATGGGAAGACATCTCCTCGCCAGCTCCATGGAGCCATTCCCGTGTGTGCAGGCGGGTGAGCAGGCATGGTGCGCAGTTCTGGGGTGGCCGCTGAGTGCTTGGGACGTGTGCGCCCGGAGCTGTGTGAGTGCGAGCAGCGTGTCCCTGCTCTGGAGAGATTTTAATCCACGTTTTCCATCCCAAGGACAAAATCCTTCAGAGCATGAACACAGCTGGGTCTATCTGTGCAGTAGCCAGGCACTGTGCCTTCTAGCTCAGGCACTGCAGAAAGGCAGCAGGAATGAAGTGAAAAAGAGTGGGTCAGATGCATTACAAATGAATGAATATTGCTGGAAAAAAAAGACAGAAATTGAGTCTTTCCAGGAGTACTCAGTCACTGTGGCGTGGGATCTGCAGCACAGCGTCACAGCACAGGTTCAGGGCCATCAGGAGGATTTGCAGGTGTTGCTTCAGATTCCACCACTTGTGTCCAAGCCCCAGTTGTCTCTGTAGCTTTGCACGGTGCTCAATTATTATTAGGAGAATCACCAATGGGTTTGGACATCCTAGGAATAGCATTTACCACTGCACATAAGCAAAGCCCGTCTGAGCTGTGTTTGCTGTAATCACTGATTGCAGACTGGCTTTTACCACTGAGTGACCATTTACCCATGGGACCAGGTCATGCAGAAGTCAGATTTCTCCACTGTCACTGAGCAGCAGTCTAGCTGAACAGCTGTCGGGACAGGATCTAGACTATAGGCTGCCTGTTTGCTTTCCCCTTCCCTATGGAGGGTCCTGCTTTCTGCTCACTGCCTAGCTGCCCCAGGAGCACCCTCCCTGCCCCCCTGAAGGCTGGTTGAAAGGTGCATGAGAAAAATGAGAGTAACATGGAAGAATTTCCCAAGCAAAATGGCAATCAAAAAAAATAAATAAATAAAAATTCTACAAAATGTGAATTTAAAAAATATTTTCAAAAATTTAAATTTGAAAAGGAAGATTATCTAAAAATATACACCTTTTTATCCCAAACCGTTCAGAGAGCACATTTCAACAAAATGTGTCAGCAGCATTTCATTTTCTCATCTCAAAACCGACGTAGCTCATGGGCTGTTTACCTGTGCACAATTTAATGTCTGTCTCAAAATCTGTCTACCAGGTCTCTGTGCTGCACCTTACTAACTGATGTTTCTTCACTCACTTGCTTTCTCAGCAAATTGCATGGGGCTTCCAGCATTAACTGCCAAGTTGGTTCCATATATTCCCCATTTCTTACTAATATTGTTTTTGTCACTTTCTTTCCCTCCGTGTCTCCATGAAAATAGATTTAATTGGTGTTTTTCCTGCATGGCCTTTTGTTTCTGCACTGTGGACTAAATTGTATGTAGCAGGAAGGGCTGGGGCAGCCCTGGCAATTCCTGCTAGCCTGCCAATTGTCCAGTGGGGAACACAGGACATTGAAACGGGTAAGAGTGGAGTGATGGGAATGTGGGAGGCTGGATTAACGAGGGGTGACATGGTCCAGCACTTCCAACACCTTCCAGCACCACAAAGATTGGCAACAGGTGCCTACAGTTAACGGTGGGAATAGGTTTTTGTGTCTATGTCCATGTCAGAAGCAGGGTGCTCACTTCCCTTTTGTATAGCCAGTCTATACTGGAGAAGAAGACTATCTTAAGATGGCCGGTTATTTAGTGGGGAAAAAAAACCCATCTAAAACCATTGTAATGATGGAAACATGTTTGTTTGTTCAAATCAGTCTAATGGAGCCATTCTGTTTCTATGTCTGTAGGCAATAAGGATCTGGGAAAAATTAGATGTTAAATTAGACTTGATTCAGGCTTATTGTGACCACTTCTTCATATGACTGTGCCACTGGAAGGGGAGAACTGTCTTCCTTTTAAGAGCACATTGCACTGTTACACGGTACATGTGGCTCAGTGCAGATGAAATCTAGTTCATTTGATCATATCCTGCTCATTGTAAACACTCAGAGTTTTTCAGTGAGCTGTCAATATAACCCAGAACCAAGTAGAGCAGAAGGGATATTTTGCTGCTGGCTCCTTGCAGGGTATTTCCTTGCAGCAGAGGCATGACCCAGCTTCAGACTCAGAAAGATGTCCTCTAAAAGAATGATTATCCTTATATTTAGCAGAAAGGATGCAAATGATGATGGAGCTCTGCAATTTGTTCTTCCCTGAGAGCTTGCCTGACAGCAGCCAGGGAAGTAGTCTCCTCTGCATATGAGAGTTAAGTAACTCATAATGGAGTGCAGCCTCCAGAGTGGATGGAGCAGAGATGTTCTGGTAGAAATGCGGAGCAAGCATCCTGTCATACCTCTGAGACCACCTCTGAAATTCATCATATGCCCTAAATGTGAGAGGGAAGCACAAAAAGCTGACATTTGCCCTGAAGGTGGCATGTCTTGGGCACACTGAGATGAAGAGAGCAGCTGAGTACGAGCTTTGTTCCTGGGGTGTCTGAGCTGAGCCCCGTGTCCTCTTCTTGAAGCCGTTGCTTTTTTGCTCAGGTGGACGTGCACTCAGAGCAGCATAAGTCCGCAGTACAACATCTGTGAGCAGATGGTCCAGATCCGAGATGACCACATTCGCTTCATTTCTGAGCTCGCTCGCTACAGCAACAGTGAGGTAAGCTCAGGGGCAGTCGCTTTAATTGAGTTCATTAGACAGACAAGGCTGGGAGAGGACAAATGTGGCATTAGCATGGTCTGCCAAGACATAGAGTGAGATGGGTGAAAGGACACAAATGGAACAAGCTGCTGCTCGATCCAGCAATAAAAGAAAATGAGTTATGAAAGGTCCCTGTGGGTGCAAAATTGTGCACTGGGAGACCTACTCTGAAAGCTATCACTTTTTGGCCAGAGCTTAGTTGAAATAAGGAGTAGAAATATTTTTGCAACTAATTGTTTATCATCAGCTGTGGGTGGCAGAACACCCATGTCTTGCAGATGGGTCTTTTTTGTTGCACAGAGCCATTAGAGCTCTGAGGGAAATTCACTGTTCTCTGTTCATTACTGAATGTCAGAGCCTTTTCTGATGCAATTCTGACTGTTTTTTGCAATTGCGTGATCCTCATTGATCACTGTTAGTTCAGTGAATTGTTAGAATTCTCAGCCCTTTTGTTTTGGCATTTGTATATGCTTATTTGAACTTTATGTCAGTAAAGGCTAGAGGAGTTCAGTGGTATTAGACTACCACAGAGAAATGGGAAAGTGGAATGAAAAGGTCAGTTATTTGCTTTGAGGTTACGGGTCAAACTCATTTTTCTGTAGGAAATAAATTGACTGCCTGGGTAGTAAGAGTCCTGCCAAGTTACACTCCTTTTCTCAAGGGAGAAAACATGCACAGCCCAGTTTTATCTTGATCATAAGATCATGGGGAATTCATTTCAGCTGGGATTTGAGAGGGAGATCTGCTGCTGCTGTTTGACTCAACCGAAGCTGCAGCAAGTTGCTGACTCTGGCCCTGACACGATGTGATCTCCTCCAGGTGGTCACTGGCTCAGGGCTGGACAGCCAGAAGTCCGATGAAGAGTACCGGGAGCTCTTTGACCTCGCTTTACGGGGACTGCAGCTGCTGTCCAAGTGGAGTGCCCATGTCATGGAAGTGGTGAGTGCATCAGTGTGTAATGTCCTCCTCTTTGTAAGTGAGTGTCAACTTGTTAGCAGGCTATGCGGTACAGATTGTGAAATGATGAGGCTGTTTGCATGCCACCTTACTTTAAGCCTTTAACTAACATATTAAAATCAGACAGCTGATCACCCTGAACTTCTCTACAACAAATAGAGAAAGAGAACTTGTTCATCCCTCCCAAGAGCTGCACTGCCCTTCACACGTTCTGGGGTGTCCACATTAAGTATGGAAGGGTGCATGACAGGTCTGGATCTTGAGCAAGTAAAACTAATTTAAATGACCATAGAAAGCCCATAGATGTCAAAAGCCCAATATAACTGGCAAATCATCAAATAAACAAAAACAATATTTAATACAGTGATGTTCAAGCCAGGAAAAAGTATACATTCTGCACCCAAAGTTGTGTCAAGCAAGTGTTCTGATGTCCAGGGACTGTTTCTCTGGCATAGAGCTCTCTTCAGTCTCCAGGCTTGCTTCTCACTCACTGCAATGTTGACAGTATCTGTTTCCATTTTCCAGTACTCTTGGAAGCTGGTTCATCCCACCGATAAGTTCTGCAACAAGGACTGTCCAGGAACAGCAGAAGAGTATGAACGAGCTACCCGGTACAACTATACCAGCGAAGAGAAGTTTGCCTTTGTGGAGGTAGGTGCCATCTACTGCCTTGCTCTCCTTACTGCCATGGCAGAGAGAGTGGCTTGGAGATCAATTTTTCTGCATTTTGAAGTTTTGATTTTTGCATAAAAAAGAGTGACTAAGAGCCAGCAAGGGCTGTTTTCCTATCAGGCACAAAGGACATTTGGAACATGTGCAGTTTTCCAGGGTTGGGTGTTATTAAAGATAGCAAGAAATCAAGAATGAAAACAAATCCTGCCAAGGGACAGGGGCCATTTGCAAGAAACTGGTGGTGGAAATGCTCTCCCCAGCATATAACACAGAAAAAAAAAAATAAGCCACCTATTTGCTGTACTTAAGTTACTTGAATAGAATTTATTATCAAATTATCTTAATGTTTATGGACCTCTCCATACAAAAGAAAAAATAGGAAGTACATCTGTTTTTAATTTTTGTTTCAGGTAATTGCCATGATCAAAGGTCTACAAGTGTTGATGGGCCGGATGGAGAGTGTCTTTAACCAAGCCATCCGCAACACTATCTATGCAGCTTTGCAGGACTTTGCCCAGGTGACGCTGCGAGAGCCCCTCAGGCAGGCAGTAAGGAAGAAGAAGAATGTCCTGATCAGGTTGGTCTTTCTTGAATGTAATACAAAGCCAATGTATTTATTTGTGTAGTATATAGTACAGGTGTACTATGTAAATGTGTAGTCCTGTACACAGCTTAATATTATACAGTCAGTCAACATACCTTGGCCAGCAACTCTTTCCATAGTCCACTTTTGGACATGACTCCCCTACAGACAACAGTGTAACTCCCCACTCCATATACTTCCCCTGCTAATGTTCATAGCTGTGAGTGTTTTTGCCTTGCAGTAAAATCAAGTTAAGCACTAATTTCCCTCTCCCTACCCATCCCAGTGTTCTTCAAGCAATTCGAAAGACAATCTGTGACTGGGAAGGAGGTCGAGAGCCACCAAATGATCCTTGCCTGAGAGGTGAAAAGGACCCCAAGGGTGGATTTGATATTAAAGTCCCACGACGAGCAGTAGGACCATCAAGTACACAGGTATGTAAATCTCTATTTCTATGGAATTAATGGTCCTACAGTCATGTAGGAATCTTCCATTCTGTGGGTTAGCAGCTCTTTCCATGGGCTATCCAGTAATGTCTTTACCCTCATGTTACATGTTAAACATTTCTTTGATGCCTAGCTTGTTGTATAGTTCCCCACGTCTCACTTGTTATGGGTGTGATTATTTCTATCTCAGAATGATGGTGGCCCAAAGGGTGCAGAAAGTAGAGCGTAAGCCGAAGTAGAAGCAGAAGTGTTAATTTTTGCTGCAGAGCATCATGTTTGCGTGCAGTGGTATCTCACAGGAGAGTAGTGACTGTTAACTTCCTTCCTAAGCTCTACATGGTGCGGACCATGCTGGAGTCCCTCATAGCAGACAAGAGTGGCTCCAAGAAGACTCTGAGGAGCAGCTTGGATGGGCCGATAGTCTTGGCCATCGAGGAGTTCCACAAGCAGTCGTTCTTCTTCACCCACCTTCTCAACATCAGTGGTGAGTGAAACTATGGCAGGGGGAGACTTGACTCCAACTCTCACATTCTTGGACAGGCAAAGGTTTATGTATAGTTTTGCTCCTCATTGATTTGCACAAAAGATTTTCTTTGCTTTTTCCCAAATGTTCTACTTTTGGCTGATGCAGGCGTGCTTCTAGGTAGTAATCATTATGAGAACGGGAATGAGTCAGCAATAGCAGAAGAGCCATTAGTGGTAGTTTAGTTTCTAGGAGTGGAGTTTTCTTTCCATCCTAGGATGACTTCTGAGTCTTCCCACTGGGGGATCTCTCTGTGTTGCAGAAGCGCTGCAGCAGTGCTGTGACCTTTCCCAGCTCTGGTTCCGGGAGTTCTTCCTGGAGCTGACGATGGGCCGCCGCATCCAGTTCCCCATTGAAATGTCCATGCCCTGGATCCTCACGGACCATATTCTGGAAACCAAAGAACCCTCCATGATGGAGTAAGAGATGATGGGCTGTGGTGGGTTGTGCCTTCAGTGGGGCTTGAGATTTTGATTTGGTGAAGAGTAGGCTGGGGATGAACTATCTCTTTGACAAGGGTGAAAAAAAAAAAACAAACATGTTTTTTGACTTGCTGCTGCATGAGTGTGTAATGTATGAATAACTCATTAGCAGATGCGCACTAGCTGCTTCTTGACAGTGAAACTTGATCCTCCATCATAAACCAGCAGTTGGGAATTGCTGCATTAGAATATCCACTCAACTTGGTGGTAGTCGTCTGCATACAGCAGTCAAACAGCATGTGCAACCAAAGGGACATGAACCCTGGATAAAGAACTTTAAGCACTTCTTTTGTACATCTGATAAATGATCAGAAATTGCTGTAATGCAAGTATAATTATATTCATATTATCTTCCTCATTAAGGAAGCTTTCTTTTCCATTTTATAACCATTGGCAAGGCACTCTGGAGTGAAGGCAAGACAACATTTTTTATAGGGCAGAGAAGGAGATGGCATTGATTGAATAAGACACAGCACACACCCAGATCTGTTCTTGCTGCTTCCAGCAAATCATACAAGGAGTGAGATGGGGGAACTTGAGGGTCTGGAGTGAATGGAGGTAAAAGGAGTGAAAGACAGAAAAATGCCAGTTCTTGCACTGAGTGGCTGCTCTTTATGCTGATATCTCCAAGGTTAATTGAAGATATGATGTCTTCTTGTCCTCAGATATGTACTGTACCCCTTGGACCTCTATAATGACAGCGCGTACTATGCCTTGACCAAGTTCAAAAAGCAGTTCCTGTACGATGAAATTGAAGCTGAAGTAAGTTCCTCTTTATTGTATAGAAAGAGCACAGCAGGGGTCACACTGTCCTGTTTGTCAGCCCAGCCCAGCAGTTCAGTGAATCAATAATAGGCGTACCCTGAAAAATATATATTCTGATATTCTGAATATATTCTGAGAGATTTTCAGAAGATCAAAATATTCAGAGAGCTTACATGCTCTGTTGATTAAGGACTTCAACTTAGCAGTACTGTGGGACCAGTGGAAGCCAAATGCTGTCAGACACTGTGAGCCTGGAAGAGTCTGTCTGATGGGCAGAGGGTTATGAGACATCAGAGGAAAATGACAACCTGGAGATCTCTGAGAGCAAAGGATGACTGGGTGTGGGGAGACTGGGATCTGTAAGAACAGGCAGAAACTATAAGCTCTGTATTGAGTTATACCAATCTTGCAAGAGTAGGAAGGAGCCACTTTGCACTGGTGACATCTTTGTGACTTTTTTTTTTCTCCCCCAGGTGAATTTATGCTTTGATCAGTTTGTGTACAAGCTGGCAGATCAGATCTTTGCCTATTATAAAGCAATGGCTGGCAGGTAGGAGAACCCGACTGCTGCTGCTGAGTGATGATATTGCTGTTAACCAAAAGGTACCCCTCAGGGAGTAGCCACTGCAGGTAGACAAAACAAAAGATTATCCTTGTCTCACCAAGCTTAGTATCCATGTCAGACCAGTGCAGATAGGGAAAATAAATTAATGGTGGCAAGCGGACATGGTGAACAGTGAAGTACAAATGATTGATATCCTATGTAGCTGTCTGAGTACCATTTTCTGGAGCAGCAGCAGAGCAGATCAATCCTACTGAAGACATGTCCTTGCTTGACTTTTGATTGTGTACCAGGCAGATGAGTACTGGAAGCCTCCCAGCTATAGGAAGCAGGGATATTCACTTGTCCTCACCCTAGTAGAGCATCAAGACTTAAAATGGCCAAATTGATATACAGTCATAGGTCGTACCTCAGACTGCAGGACTTCTGCAGAGTTACCTGCTCCCTGATGAGGATATAAGCCCTTTGTGACATTTCCTTTTAACAATTTAAAGAATACAGATGAACTCTAATCTCCTCTCATGTCTCCAAATGTGCACAAGTCTTAGTCTAACTCTGCGAGGAGTTTTGTTTCTAGATCACAATTGGTCTTAGAAAAGGAGACCACCCCACTACTTGGTACTAGTGATATCTTTCAGTACAGTCTTTTATATTTTTGGATGTTTTAGCCATAAAAGCCAAGAGTGGTAGCAGCATGGAAGTCACCAGGTGACGACTGCTGCTTTGTGACTTAGAAATGAAAGCAAAGCAAGTGGACATTTGTTGGCATTCAGACCAAGATGAAAAGAAGGATGAATATAGCTCTGGAACAGATCCAGAGAGAAGATGATTGTGTGTGTTTGCGTTTTCCTGATGTTAGTTGCCTGTTTCAGTGTTTTGCTGGACAAACGTTTCCGGGCTGAATGCAAGAATTATGGGGTGATCATTCCATACCCACCATCAAACCGCTATGAGACACTGCTCAAGCAAAGGCATGTCCAGGTACACTGCAAGCAAGTATTATTCATAGCTCTTAATCTATTATTCTTTAGTGGGCAGCTGGCATCCTAGTGCTGGGCTCAATTGAAACCAGTGCTGGAATGAGAAGAATTGAATGTGTTTCTGTCTCACTGCACTCAGGACATTGGGTTGAGGGAATTAATGAGTTACACTCCATATTTCCAACTTTATTCCCAAGTAGTGGTGAACCCAATAGAGGGCTTACTACCAACCTTCCCTAATCTGAATGTAACATACACCTATCTTTTCTTCTTTTCCCAGTTGCTGGGCAGGTCAATTGACCTGAACAGGCTCATAACCCAGCGTATCTCAGCAGCAATGTACAAATCATTAGACCAGGCCATTAGCCGCTTTGAGAGTGAGGACCTGACATCCATAGTGGTAAGAACTATTACTGAGAGTATGAATTGAGAGAATAATACACTGCTATGAATACAGAGTCAGCGATCTTCTGCTAGTTGTCCCACCTACAGTAAGGTTCAGCCAACCATGTATTTTCCTTTATGACACTGAATCTCTACTGTTTCTACTTATGAAGCCTTAATTGCATTATTATTAGACTGTGAACTATTTGAGTAAATCATAAGGTGACAGTCAGTATTTAAATTTTGTGGAGCTCATAGAACAGAGTCCAGTGATTTGACAGTAGGAAATCCTGACTGTAATTCCCCCTGTTGAATACAGGTAGCTGAGATCGTTTGTGCAGGATTTTCTGCCTTTGATACTTTACAGAAGTATCAGAGTCAAGTAGTGTAAAATTACCAGTTTCCACCTCTGAAGGATTCTGATGTGAAAGCCAGCCAGCACTCAGTGGGGAACAAATTAATTTTGCTGCCTGCAGGTTTAGGAGATAGTGGACCAGGACCCCCTTGAGTAGAAGTGCAGTTGGCCTCAGTCACTGAGTGAAATCATTGTATTTAACATTTGTTACATCCTCACCTGGGAAGTTCTCTGTGTGGGTGTGGATATAATATCATCCCTTGGCAACTGAACCAACAGTTTCTATTGTCATCTTGGTAACACATGTCATCTGCTGCTGCTTTGTGTGCTGCAGGAGCTGGAGTGGCTCTTGGAAATAAATCGCCTGACTCACAGGTTGCTGTGCAAGCACATGACTTTGGATAGCTTTGATGCCATGTTCCGGGAAGCCAACCACAATGTCTCTGCACCCTATGGGCGCATCACCCTCCATGTCTTTTGGGAGCTCAACTTTGACTTTCTACCCAACTACTGCTACAATGGATCCACCAACAGGTGAGGAGGAAAACCAGAGCACCTGGATACCTTACATTTCTTTCCAGAATTTCGAACCTGCCACATAAAATTCACATGCATTGCAGGGAAGTTTTTGTTCCCTATGATGTGCAGCACTGAGAGTTAAAGTCTACCAGCTCCCCTTGGTCTTGGAAGCTCTAGTAACACATTCAAACAAAGTTGGACAGAGATTACGAACAACTGAGGTAGTTCAGTCTAGAGTGTTGTGACTTGTCAGCAGAACTGTGGTCCCTGCTCAGATGTGGGTTTCTTGCCTGCCTCCAAAAAAACCAAAACCTCTGTAATATGTTAAGTTGATATGTTTTATATCACCAATAGGTTGGGGCAGGATTTTGCACGTGTAGCTTAGATGATGACTTGCTAATTAGTCTGCAACCACAGTTCCTCTTGGACCGCGTGATGTCTGCACTGCCCACAGCTGACCATTTCCCTCCCTATCTCCTGTGCCTGCTGCAGGTTTGTGAGGACAGCAATCCCCTTTACACAGGAACCCCAGCGGGACAAACCAGCCAATGTTCAACCATATTACCTCTATGGGTCCAAGGTCAGTAAATGAGCCATGGCAGCCAGCAGGGGTGGATGCTGGAATCCTTTATTTAGGAAGAAACAAATGCAATATTTTGTTCGATAACAGTGTGACGAGTGCGAATGTACAGCATCACATTGTCATGTGAAACAAAAAAGCCATGCAAGAAGCAGCTTCAGTGTGCTTTTTGCTATTGCTCTCCCATATTCTTCTCCATAACATGCCTGTGTGAGGGGGTGCTGACACCACTCTTTGCTTGCTGGTCGTTCGTAGACCAAGTCATATCCATCTAAACACAGAGAGAGGAGAGCTAGCTGGAGTTCCAGTTCGGTGCTGCCCCCTGAGAAAGGTGCTGCGCAGGAATCCCATTTCTAGTTCAGAACAGGAGTTACTAAAATGCTGGAGTGCAAATGTAAACTACTTAACACTGACAAAAAGCTCTTTTGTCAGGCCATGGTGACTGTTTATACAAGTGTTATGAGGGCTTGGGGTGTGATGCTAGTGGAGGATCACTCAGGCATGAAAGTATTGGAGTGGAGTTTATTTCTTGTGCATGCTGGTTGATGACTGATGTGATCTACAGCACTGATGCAGATTAGATAGTGACACTACATTCAGCCTAGCGTGGCCATTCCCAGAAAGCTTACTTTGTTTCCTTTTAAAAACCCCTCAGTGAATGATAATATTTTTGTCACTTGAAAAAGCTTTTCTCCCTGCAGATAATGTTCCTACCTCATGTTTTACCCTGGGAGAAACAGCCCCTGTGCATACACAAACTGGGAAGAGCTGGGAAAGAGCAGCATGAACCAGACTGCCAAGCAGTGCCTCTCTTTATTTTGCTCTCACTGAAGGCCGTGCTGCGGCAAGATGGCTGTCTTATCATCACTATTCTTATAGGGGAAGAAGCAGCGTGGGGAACTATACGGACTCTCCCTCATGAAACTAGAGCTCCTCATGAGCACGGTGGTCATGGGCACTTCCAGAAGCTCTTCTTTCAGTCCATCACTCAGAGGACCATCCAGCGAGCTGCTGCCTTCACCCACTTCTTCAGGGCTGGCATCATGTTGCTTTGGCCTGGAAGGCCCACAGCACTGTGCAGCCCAGAACTGCAGGCAGCCGTAGACTAAGAGAGCTATAAAGCAGAGCAGCAACAGGCTGCTCACCATCCACATGGAGGTGGTGGGCTCGTGCTTAGAGCCGCTGAAAAGTAGGGGGTTTTGGTCCAGCGTGTGAAACGTGGTGCAGTGGTTGCTGGAGGGGTAGGAGTTCTTGCACATGATGCAGAGGACATAGATGGTGGAGGGCGTGAGGCGATGGAGGATGATGGAGCTGAGGGAGTGGGGAACTCGCTCCTCACGGTGGAAGTTTTGGCGCAAATAGCCGGCAAAGACGCTGTTCCAGTTGGGGCGGTACATGACGTGGTAGTAGTTCTCCGGACAGGGACTGGTGGTGGTCCAGGAGACTGTGGCACTGGTGTAGGTGATGTTGTGCACGTCGATGTTCATCATGTCCCTGAAACCAGAACCAGCGAGAGGCTGAGTTCCCCAATGCATGTGCAGTCCTAAAGGCCACTGACATCAGTGAAGGCTTTCCACAGGTATTACTGGCCCTTAGACTGGGCCTGTGTAGGCGTTCAGGTGAACTCTCTGTGCCTTTTGTAAAAGTAATTACTAAAACACGCTGCATTTTGGATAAGTCACAATTGTCCCTGCAATCTCTTTTAAGTGTTTTGCCAGTGGTTGACACTAAAAAATACTGCATTTTTCGAACTGTTAAGCACTGCAGGTGCTCTCTAGCAGACAGAAAACTTCATCGCAGTTGTCTTCAGGGTCTTCAGCAAACTTTCAGAAGCTGAGTTACTCAGCTGACTGCTTCAAAACCTGCCCTTTTCACCCTAGACTCCTACGCTTAGGGGAGTTTGTGGAAATGAAACTCAATCTGTTGAGGCACCTGCTGCACTCAAGAGTTTCATTTCTAATACTGCTGCTTCCATGATTTCCACACTCTTAGTTGTTACCATCTTTTCCCTCAGTCACCACAGCTTCACTTCCTTGAATGTAGAAAATGTCATATTCCCCTTTACAGAGGCAAAAAGAAAGCGACTGTGGGAACTGAGCTGCCCACAGCCTAGGAGGGAGCTCTTTCCACTGGCTGCAGAAGGGCTATGCCTAATGAGCTTAGATTAGATGCTCGATCTTAGGTGATTAAAATTACCAAAGATGAAACCTGCTTGGTGCCCAGACTACTGTTATTGAAATTACTGCTTTTTTTTTACTGTTACTGAGATTACTGCTTCTTGAAAGAAAAAAACAACAACCAAACATGTAGGACATAGGGTGTACATTATGGTCCAGCTAGATTTTGAAAAATCTCTTCTTTGTGACTGGTTGTCTATACAGGAAGCTTTTTTAGCACTTTTGCTTTACATTCCCATTGAATGGAAAGGATACTGCAAGTTTGATTAACATAAGCTGATAATTAGGCTTGCCTGGTAGAATTTCCTGAAGATTAATTTTTATAACTAAATGTCATACGGAAAAGCTGCATAAAGATTCAATAGTTGTTTAAGCTGTTGCTGAATTTTCCATATTTAATGTGTTGATTAATAAACAATAAAGTATTTCTGTTACCACAGCATCTCACACTGTAATATTAGGATAGTAACTGTGAGATCTGAAAATTGCTGAAATACTATATTCAATATTATATTACAATTATGTGATATAATATTGTAATTCTTTAAGGGATTACAAGTGTATGAATGACAAAGCTCTCCCCCTAATAAAAGACTACTCAGTAACACATCCCTGATTAACAACAGCCACAACAGCTGGTACATCTTAGGACACCAGAGTGCCCTCTGAGCCTTGTTGCAGGGCTCTCTTCCCCCAACCACCTGGGCACTCCAAGCAGAAGCTGCATGCAATCGATCTCATTTCTTTTTTTCTTCTTTTCCTCCCCTCTCCCTTAAGAGAACTAACTTTCCCTTAATTCTCCCAAGAAGCAGCTCATCTTAACAACCACTGTAACCCTTCCTACAGAGCAGAAAAGCACATGCATCCATCTCTAAGCCCTCCCAGAGCCACAGGAAGCGGCTTACCTCCCCAGCAGCTCTGCAGCAGCCCCTCAGTGCAGGAGAGCAGCGCAGCACCTTCCCCTCTTCTCACTGCTGCATCCCTCCTGCTCTGCTAAATCCCTGCTCCGCACGCTGCCTCGTATTATACCCATCTTGGGCTCCGTCATCTCTCACCATAGCAACCAGTAGGAAAGGATGGGCAGGCATCTTCAAATGATTTGGGAATGTTGTCCCTAAAAGCTTTTTGCCTGGGAGAAGTGTGTCTCCGAGGCACAATGAGCAAACCAGTTTTGTTTTGTTTTCTAGTTTGTTTTTCTGGGTTTTTTTTCCATCTCTATCTGCAGCCCTGCAGCAACACTGCTACCCTGCTCCAGAGCTACTGCCTCCAGAAGAGTCTGGAGTTAGAGCCATACTGGTATATGGTGTGAAATCCAGCATCCTGGCCTATTGATAGCTTAGCGCTCAGAGGTTTTGTCTTTATTGCTATGATTTCTTGCACGTTTAAACTGCTGTTTAAAGCCAGTGAGTGGTAGATTTTCGTCCCTGATACTGAGGCAATGTCCATTTGCTTTTTAATTTATCTCCAAGCTGTGTGATAGGAGCAGGAACTGGGTTTTCTCTGAATACCCAGGGAAGGAAGGAGAGGCAAAGCCATTGAGAGAGCAGCCCGAGCCCATAGCCAAGAGCTGACAGGAAGGGACAGATGTGGCAGCAGGACTGGTAAGGAGAGGCTCTGAAGAAATGACTTGCTGCTCTGTGAAGCCAAAATGTATTCAAGAGAGGAACTTTCCCAAAGTAAATTTCAGTTCTGGCTATGGAGTTATTAGTTCCACGTTCTTGCTGGGAAGGTGCCTGCAGTATTTCATAAATCTTCAAAATGTCATTAGTGAGGAGATGATGCAAACCAGATTAGGCGAGGCTGTTACAAGCCCAGGCAGTACGTGTGACTGTTGCTTTTGATTGACACTTTGCAGTTCTGTGTGTGTTTATCTTCCAAGTCCTGCCGTATTTCCTTCAGTTTCTGAGTGGGCTGCAGCTGCCAGGGAGCTGAAAATGGGGAGCAAAGATGAAAATAATTATAGGTAGGGATGGAAATGAAAGTGCTCCCAGGCGGCCTCCAGCCTTTTTACATCTCTCAGTCCTCCTTGCAGGAGCAAGGGAATGGAGAGCTCTTAGCTGCTCCCATGCTGTGAAGAAAGTACATCCTTGCCGGCAGGGAGAGAGCTGAAGATACAAATCTGTGCTCAGAAAGGTGTCACCATGTGATAATACTTCATGGGAGTATTGCTTTTCTTCTGCAGATGGGTTGTTGAGTTAGTGGTGTTCACAGTTGTTTCAAAATTAAATTTCAGTTGTTCGCACATAAGGAACAGAGGAAAGCACAGAAAACAGGAATAGCTGCATCCTGCTAACTCTTCTCCATGCAGTGATCAATGCCATGAGCTCTGAAAGAACTGTAGCAAAGTTTTCAGTGCTGCTGGCATTACCAAAGTCAAGTCAGCACCAGTTTACACTGGTGGCGAGCTAGAAATTGTCTTTTTTGTGGACAAGAAAACACCAAAACTGTGTCAGTGCTGGGTCTGCTCCAGCACCTTTGTTCCCTTCTACCCAAATAACATCTGCCAGTAGCCCTGGCTGTCCTTGCCTGCCACTCCACCCTCTGGGATGCACACCATGAATGTGTTTGAGTGGTCAGCAGAAACTGAGCAATTCTGTCACTCAGCCACTTAGAAAATGCAGCAGGTTGCCAATTTTCCTACAAAGGAGCTGTAAATCAACAGCAACCCACTTCTTACTGCTTGCTAACCACTTCTTAGCTCTGTAAATGCTTTAGATTGGGTTTAATTTATGTACTTTCAAGGGTGTTTCTGTTTTCTCTTGGCACTGCTGGACCCAGGGTCACGTCAGACTCACTGAAAATCACAACTTCCCTCTCACAGCTGACTTTGCCCACCCATTTTTAGCAAGCATGAGAGCAGATGTAACCTGAAGGGCAAGGCATGCTGCTGGCAGCTGTATAAATAGCCATGCTGTGTGAGTGGGATGGAACCACTCTATTTACTGCTGCCACGTCTGCAGCAGCAGCACTGAGGTGTGAAGGAGCTGTGGATGCTGCAGGTGGTGTTGGCAGTGGGGGCTGCTGATCCATTGCAACAGGCTGTGGGGGCTGTGCTACCCCTCCTGCTGTGGCTCTTTATACATTATAGCAGTCTGTGTAGGTATGTACGTGTGTGTGTATATATAAAATTACAGTCAGTATAGCAAGGCATTATGCTAAGGCATGGAATAGACAGAGATATTATTTATATACAGTATATAAAAGTGCCTACTGCATTGTATGATTTCTGCATCACACATAGGGCATATGTATTTTAATGAAGCACTGGAACAGGTTGCTGCATCACAGGAAATATTCAAGGTCAGGCTGATCTGGGCTCTGAGCACCTAACTGAGCTGTAGATGTTCCTGTTCAGTGCAGCAGAGTTGGGCTACGTAGCCTTTAAAGGACCCTTCCAACTCAAATGACTCTCTGATTCTGTTTACTTTCCATAAAAGTCTTAGAATTGCTTTGTACTTTCTTAGACACCATCTCAACTGTGGCACTGAAGTCAGGCTGATAGTCAGGACTAATCTTTGGTTGTGCCACTGCCACAGATCCCAACCTGCCTGCACACCCAGCCTCTCAGCCCCAAAACCTGCCCGTCCGACCCTAAACCAAAGGCAGGGAAAACCTCTACTATGTGTTCAGTGGCTGTTGCTCCTGTGAACAGTAAAGCCTCCTGTGGGCCTGCAGGAGAGGGGCTCTGCTCCTGCTCCTGGGGGGTGGCAGTGGCCACACAATGTGGAGGAGTGAGCGTGCCACACAGCCAGCTTGTGTGTTCAGCTGGTTTGTCTTAAAATACACCCTGGTGTCATATTTTACATCCTACAGTCTTTAAACTAAGTTGTGTATCTCGCCCTTAAATGGAGGTATATCTTAATTGCTCACAGGGTATTATTATTAGATGCAAGCCTGCTGCTAATGCGCTGTGCAGAGAGCTTGATGAGCCTACCTTATCTTGCAGACAGGAGGGGATGAATCACTCTCCTCATCTGCAGCCCATGCACAGCCTAAAATGTATCTTCTCCTAATCAGTCTTATTGCTGGGACCCCCACTCGAAGGAAAAGACAGCTTCAAAGCTGCACTGTGGCAGCATTGTGTTTTGCTGCAAGGCAGGAGGCTGCACTAAGAGATTGTCTGCCTGTGCAGCAAAATGTCAGCCCCGTTCCAGGAAAATGCGACCAATTCTATCTCCCCAAAATTATTTCACTCTGACCCTTACTATTCAGAGGCCTATTGCTTAGTTTTGATGGAGGAGAAAGTTCATGCACGTTGTGAATGAACGCACTACAGAGACTACAAGGTTGGCTTTGTGTATATAACAGTACTGATGCACAGAAGAGTGGTGAAGGGTTTCTCTGTCTATCAGGGCCAACGGTGAAGTTTTAAGAGAAGCAGGGGGCTCTCCAACTTTTTTTCCTGCTAGCTTTTTAGAGGAGTACCTAGCAATCATAGGAGGTGATAACATTGATGGATCAGGGCAGTAGGGTTCTAACAGAACAATTAATTCACTGATTAAAGCAACTGTCAAGTCCACAAGAGCTATCAGTACATCAGTCAGCAGAAATTCTGTATCTGAGAGCAAAAGAAAACACTATTCTGGTTCCTAGCAAATGACTTCACTTCCTAACTTATTAGGTTTGTGGAAGTGAGTCAGAGGGAGAGGATGAGTGAAGCCTTCGAGCACAACTGGCTGTACTGCAACTGCTAGGTGCAGAAGGAGCTGAGGATCCACCATTTTGTCCTCATCTGCTACTTCAGTGCTTGCTGCCTTTCACCTTAAGCTCTCAGTGTGGTGGTCTCTCAGGTGCCCTGGCCGGAGTCTGTCCCTGGTGCTGGCATGGAAGGGAATTCCTGCAGAGCTGAGTCTGTGGTTGCTGTGGAAGGATGCAGCACGCCTTGCACAGCACATTTGGATGTAACTTAATTTGTTTCATTAGTCTTCAGATCTTTTAGCAGCTCTGAGCCAGGGATTTCATCTGTGTTTTGCTGGAAGCGGCACTATGTGCCAGAGCCTTTCTAAGACTCAGTGCTGTGTACTGGAGCTGTGTAGATCTCCTGGGGGAGGCTGCAGCCCTTCTCTGTGGGGCTGAGTCACGGTGCCAGCACTTCTCTTACAGATGCCAAGCTGAACATGCGGTGTCTCAGCTAAAATCAGTTTTCTTTTTGATTTTTGGTTTCTTTTGCCTTTCATACAAGTGAATTAATTCCCCTACTTCTCTTCTTCTTACACCAATTGAATCAAAAAAATGCTCTAGTGCCAAAAAACTGCAGTAATTCCCATATTTCCAACATTATATTGATAAAATATGCTCCTGGAAGTTGCCTTCCATTTTGTGCTGCTAACAATTTACTAGTGGCCAGAGCCCCAGGTATGCTCTCTAGGCAAGGGTCAGGTTCTTCCCTTTGGGCTCAGTCACATGTAAATGTCTCAAGTATCAGTATGTAGGGCTGTACAGGATGCAGAAAGGGTCATTTCTGTGTCTCTTCCAACTGGTCTTAGTCTCAGATGCTCTAGTTCCTACTTTTCTTACTGTTTCTTACTCATTTGAAGCAAATGCCAATAGGAAAAATTCTACCCTGTTATTCATGTATAAAGCTTTCAGTTTTGGTGGAGAACAATTTGGGTTTGAAGTGGCAAAGGGCCAGTGAACTGAAATCCTTGACTGCAAATACATAGAAGAGCAAATTATCTTGGAAATGAAAGTGGTGTTGGCTATGGAGCAGGGTAATAAACCTTGTGACATGACAATTTTTTCAGAGTAGATTGCATTTGACTACACAGAAGGGAGAGCAATATTTTTGTACCTCAAGAAGTATTGTAAAAAATTTCTTACAGGAATCATTATTTCTCCTGCTTTCCTTCAAAATGATTTCAAGTGATGGAACACAGTAATACGATAAGAGAATTACTTACAAGTCCTGTAAATGTTCCTAACTGTCACTGTGCTTCTATTTTCTCAGCCTCTCAACATTGCCTACAGTCACATCTATAGCTCCTACCGCAACTTTGTGGGGCCACCTCATTTCAAGACAATCTGCAGGCTGCTTGGCTATCAGGGGATTGCCGTGGTCATGGAAGAGCTGTTGAAGATCGTCAAGAGCCTGGTAATGCTGAGCCTGACACTGGCAGCAGAGAAATCTTGATGCTTTGAGAGGCATGAATTGGAAGGTCAGCCTGGCCTTCAGGTTTTGGTTTGGGTTGTTGAAACCTAGGCACTTCTGTGTCTCTTTATCCACACTGCAACACTTGTATTCATGGTCTAGTTTTGCTGTTGCTAAGGAGGAGGACACAAAACTGATGAAAAAGAGTTTGCAAAGAAATTTCTGTTACATGTGAGCTCTTAAGAATTCAAGCCATACGTCCCTTTCCATCAGATATGCTGAAGCCAGTAGCTCCATCTGCTTTGTACTGCTCTCAAAAGAGAGATGTGATGTCCACAGGGAAGTGCTCCCTAAGGGCACCAACAATAGAGAACATTAACAAGGCAGGAGGGAGCGTGCAAAAATTTATCATTTTTCAGGTCATGCTTTTCTACCCAAAACTGCTTCACCAAAGAGAAGACTTCAATTCATTATAAATATTTAAATTCTGTTTTGGCTGCAGTGATTTGATTTTGAACTTATCTAGCAAAGCAATGTAGACCTGAATCTTAAGCATATACCCAGCTTCTCTGCTGTAAAGCATTGTAGCTGTTGAAGATGTAATTTGTGTCACTCAGTTGAAAGCACCGTAGCTGTTGTATGAGATCAGACAGCATTCAGTGAGAAGACAGAGATCTTGCATTTGGCTAAATTATGTTTATCACATAATCCCATGTAATATGTCTACAAGATGTATTTATATAACTCCAAATGACAGCAAGCATTTTTAACTAAGAAATACATTTTTCTCCATATTAGTTCAAAACATCCAATCTGCAGGAACTTGTTCTATGTGTATATATTTTTAATTTTTTTAAACTTTCAGTGTCAAGAATCATTCCTCAGGTGGAAAGACCATTTCCTGTGCTGTGGAATGACTCCTTTAGCAGCTCCAATGAAATGCTTTTTGGGTTAGGAACACAAGTCCAGCTGGATCTACGATGGAGCCTTGTTTGGATTTCAGCTGCAAATAATGCAAACACAATGAGCTGTATATTGAAATAGAAAATCCATGCAACCATTATTTATTATTCAGGAGGAAGCTGTAAAACTCCATGCACTTGGGCTGGACTATTTGGGTGAAATCCAAAGGAAGCAAGGTCTTAGACTCCAACTAAAGTTTCACCCTTTGTTGTCAGACAGGGACCCGTCCCCAGTCTGTTCTGTTTAAAACCAAGGCCAGAAGAAGCCATCCTTCCAGTTTAACCCTTCTTTGTCTCTTACAGCTGCAAGGCACCATCCTGCAGTATGTGAAGACTCTGATAGAAGTCATGCCCAAGATATGCCGCTTGCCAAGACACGAATATGGCTCTCCAGGTGGGTGCTACAGTGAGATGTGTCATGGTTTGTGCAAGAGCTCATCCAAATCCCTGCACAGCATTTACTCAGTTAAATAAGGATGAGCATCCACTGTGCTGGTGCTCCCTGTGACACAACTTTCCTGTTACAGATTTCACTTTGAACACACAGATGATTGATAAGGGTATGTCTGCTGGTTGTTAAGGTTTTGTTTTCAGGATTTTTAAGCTTTTGTTACAGTGGCTTCACTATTACTTTTTCTAAAGCTCTACTTTGATGGAAAGATTTTTTACCGTATGACTGCAGTCTGCAACTCGGCTGGATGTGAAAACTGACTGTTATAAATGAACCAGCACAAAGACATCCATAGCAGTCTTGAATCTCTTTTTTCTCCGATGAGGAAATCCAAGGACTTCACAGGAATTACTCCCTATTTCTCATGGGTCAGCGAAAGCAGGATGACACACTGCGTGCTGGTTCTGCCCAATGCCTATCCCTATCTATCCATTTAGTAGTTTTTGCAGTTCATGATAAAGGAAGCACCAGGCCCTGACTGCCTTTTAATCCACACCACTGAAGGATGCTTTTGCACTCACTTTTTCTGACTGCTTTCCCTTGTCTTTTAAGGAATCCTGGAGTTTTTCCACCACCAACTGAAGGACATCATTGAGTATGCAGAGCTGAAGACTGATGTGTTCCAGAGCCTCAGAGAAGTGGGCAATGCCATTCTCTTCTGCCTCCTTATTGAGCAGGCTTTGGTAAGGCAACACACCCTGCACCAGCAGATCCCACTTAAAATTGCCAGCTCAAGAGTTTGAGTGGAAATAGGTTCTCCAGTGGATGAGTTGAGGAAATTTTCCAGCTTATCGTGTACCCAGGGTCTCCCTAGGGTTCTGCTGCTGGGGTCTGTGGGGATGATATACATTGGTGCTGGGTCACTGACATCTGGCATTGCTCAAGGAGAATCTGAATACTGGAAGATCTAGATTTAATTCTTGAACCCAAAGCTATCCCATGTTTGTCTGTCTCAGAAATAAAAATCAACTGGGGCTTATTTGTAGATTGTAAGCTCTTTGGGGCAGGGATTGTTATTTTTTCTAATGCTCTCTTGTAGTGGTAGTGCAATGGAAAAACTGGTTGGTTCTAATGATAGTAAGGTAAAGCAATACGAAAGGAAGGAAATCTCAGAAGAGATTATATTTCCTATGACTTAATCTTCACTAAAAACTTATTTAGAGTGATGACGTGATATTAGCCCTCGCACAAGCACCTTTGCATGCACAGGTCTCTCAGCCTCTTAGCTCATGTGATGCCAATTCTAACCTGAGTGGGCTGGTATGGGGCAAAGGCTATCTGTGGCTGAATGCAACATGTTAGAGCCAAATGAGAGTTGCAACAACAATTCAGTTTTGCATTAAGATGCATGTTTCATGTCATAATGGTTTTGGCAGGGTTATGTCAGATCTTTCAGAATTTTTTTCAGCAAGCCTTCTTGAGCACACATGGGACAAGCAAACCCATAAAATTTTGTTCAGAGTAAAACCAGAAGAAAGTTTGAAGATTCCAAGTTTACTCAACTACAGAACACAGGGAAAACTGAAAATGTCTGCAAATAACCCTAGTAGAGAGACTTCTAGTTCCTTATATGGTATATCAAACATATTTGGTGGTGAGCAGCAGTTGCATAAGACTTAACAAACAGAGATAAATATCACCTAGCAGTTGGATTTTATCTAATAGAATGACCAGACAGTATCCTGGCAGTTTATGTTTCTTTTGTGGCTTTGTCACTGCTCTCTGCTGTTCTGTGCTGAATTTTATGCTAGATGGACTGCATTTGCCTTTTATGTTCCATCTTCTAAATGGATACTTAAGGGACACATGGTGGTTTCTTTTAGAAATCCCTATTTGACTGCAAAAATGTTCCTCCTGTCTCTGGAGCTGTGCATTGGCAATATAATAACATCCTAGAACAGCAGAAAATAAAGGAGACAGTGAGACATTGAGGTTCTTTTTAGAAAGACTGCCCATCCAAGTCCACATCTGCCCACCTTCCATGCTAACCAAAGATGTCAGTTTTCTACACAGAAATTGATTCAGAATATAAAGGAGTTTTGCATGTAGCAGCCACTGGTTCTCACTTGCTGGAAGGCTGTCATATGCTTAGAGCCATTGCATAACAAGATTTTCCCTCCCTCTGCAGAAGGAGCAATTACTTTTATGGCACAGTTATCTTCATAGCTGTCAGCCTAATCTGAGCTGGTGGTATTTGTTGGCAGAAGCTGCTCTAGTGAAGATTAGAAGTCTGCTCCAGTCTGCCCCCCTTTTTATTGTTTAAATTTGCAGAATGAAGTGTTGCTTGGGACTAAAATTCTAAGAATTCTTACTCTCAGGTAATGGGCCTTAGGGAGAAGGTCTCCCATGATTGATTTCAGAACAGATACCAGGTGTATGCAGTCTGCAAATGAGAAAGTGCTCTCTTTTATCAGACGGAAAGAGCACTGAAACTACATTGATCTAGGAAGGAAGAGTCCTTTGCAAACAGAATAACAAAAACGATTGCAAACAGAATAACAAAAATGATATGCACACTGTGGTAGCATCAGCATCATGCCCATGGAGGGGCCATGGGCTGTTCCTGTCCCTCCAGCACTGTGTCACAAACTGCACTCCCACAAACTCACTCTCATGCCAGCATCCATGGCACCAGTGCAGCCTCCTGCAGCTCCATGCTACTCCGTCCTCTGCCCTGGGGCTGGGAGAAGGGGTACCTACCCATGCACCCCAACCAGATCCAGCTGAGTCATTCCATCTGCCCTGAAAATCTTTTGCTGCTCTGTCATGACCTCCTCTCAAGTGTGTCTAAATCTCTCTGGTAAGCTCAGAACTGCAAGCATGTCCTAGAACGAGAGTTTTGCAGGAGCAAACTATTGCCATGTTGTTACGCAGTGCCTCTGTGTTGAACAGCTTTGGTTTTCCTTGCTGCTGTTTCCCATTGCAGACTTGTATACGATGTATTGTCAGCCATCGCTCCTCAGTCTCCACCTTTCTATTTCTAGGTTTCTCCTTGTGCATCTATGTTTGGGATTATTTTTTCTCTAGTGCATTGGCATGCATCCTCTCAGGTGGCATCTCATGATGTTATTACTCTCTGCACTTCTGTATTATTCTTCCTGGTGCCTCGACCACTGGGATTTTGGTCTGATAGCACTGGCCATGAGCACCGTACAACCAAATAATTTCAGGCCAATGTATCATGCATCTATTTATAACAGTATATTTAACATGTACACATCCCAGAGTAACTAAGCCAAAGGGTAACTTCCACCTGGGCACACTCAGTGAAAAATAACAGCAGGAAGTCATCAGGGTAAGACAGAACTGAAATTTCCATGGCCTTTATCCCCTTTCATTCACAGTATTAATAAGTGGGCAAGAAAATGAAACAAAAAACATATGAAGTTCTGGCCTTGTGTAGGCATGAGGTAAATTATTTGGGTTATAGAAACTTCCTGACTTAAGCTGAGAGCTGTTTCTTCCAGTTTTAGTCCATCTAGATACAAACTATTGGATTTATTACTGAGCTGGGTTAGATTTGACCAGGTGCTGTAGATGTGATTGGGTTGTCGTAGGGTTGCACAGACCCCTGAGCCAAACAGTCACGCCCTATAGGTATTTTTTAACTTACTTTATCTTTCTTTCTTCCTGCCTCAGTCCCAGGAAGAAGTTTGTGATTTGCTGCATGCTGCTCCCTTCCAAAATATTTTGCCCAGGGTCTACATCAAAGGTAAGAAGCTCAGAGGGCAGCAGTGAACAGATTCAGAGGTCACTTCCAAGAGCCGTTTCTCTCCCATTTCAACTGAGGATTAGTTCTGGCCCTGCTTCCCCCTCTAAATAGATAAATGCATACAGCCAAAAGTAAGGTGGAAACAAATGCTAACAGAGCATCTTCTGTAGCCCAATTACAGGCTGGAACCTTAGATAGCCTGGGGGTTCCCTTAAGTCTTCAAAGGCATTTTGCAGCCTCTTTGGAGAATGACAGCATGAAATGTCCATCTCAACAGGAGCGATCAGGAACAGGGACATGCTTCTGAACATGTTTGGTTAAGCTGCTGCTGAGACTGCAATTGCACATCCCACCCTTCTCTGCATCACCAGTCCCCTCATTTGCTGTCGGTTTGGCTCTCTGATCCAAAGGCTCATTGGATGGTTGCTGGGGGGCAGCTCTGAGCAAACTCAGCGGAAATTGCGGGTCTCCACTTCCTCCTCTCATTTCACTGTTTGCTGCTCGCTTGACAGAAGGAGAACGCTTGGAGGTGCGCATGAAGCGTCTCGAAGCCAAGTATGCCCCACTTCACCTCGTTCCCCTAATAGAGAGGCTGGGCACTCCGCAGGTAAGGATTTCATTGAAAGGGATGGCTGTTGAAAATTCATAGCAGTCCCAGTTGCCCTGTTCAGCCCTGGGAAGGTGATCCTTTATTTTTATTTATTTTTTTCTAAAATGCCAATCAGACAAAAAAAGTCAGAATCCTTGCCCTAGCAGACGCATCAAAGGGAAATTTGTGAGTGGGTCCAGAGTGCATTGCTGCCTCCAGTCTGGAGAGCTGGCAGGCAGTTGTAGCATAAGCCAGCTCTGAACACAAACAGCCTTGAAAACCTCTTTGCTCTCCATTAAAAAAAAAAGAAAAAGGATAATTGTTGGGGTGGTTCCAGGGGAAACATCGTAGGCCTGTCCCTGTCTTAATTCATTGCCATCACTTTTGGGGATCCTGTTTTAGGACTGCCTGGTGGTATATTTTTAAGCTCATCCCTGTCAAGGAGTACATCTGAGAATGGTTTCCCTCCTAGCACATGCTTAGAGCTTCAGCACATGCTTAAAATTACACCTCCATTTAAGTGTCATATTGAGGTGGGGTCTCAGCTTGAAAAAAACATATCTATTTTCTGCAGAAATTGAGTACTGCTAAAAATATCTCAGATTTAATCAATGCAATGGGCAGAATTGAGTTCTATTGATATCAGTAGCCAAATGTCCACTATCTACTTAGTGGATTTAATAGGATAAAAATCATTGAAAGTGTTAAAGAAATCAACACCCTTTTTTCTGTAATCTACTGCTGAGGGAATGGAACAAATACTCAGTTGTATGAGGTGACAGATCTATGGCAGGCAGAAAGTTACACAGCTTTCTTCCATGTTTTTCTGATGGATCGAGGATTTGAAACTTTGCTTCACTGGAAATCATATGAAACAAAGAAATTGGATTGAAAACTGTGAGCTTTGTCTGACTTTGTAGACACTCCTCTCACTTCCCATTGGCTTCCTTTCAAAGGAGACACTCGAGAAAAAGAATTCACCTCTGTGTTTTTGTGTCTTTGTGTTGGTCTTTCTATCTCTCCTTCTTTTCATGCAAAACCATCATTGAAATCTGCTATAAGAGTCCACTCGTTGCTTATTCTTGCCGTAGTTACAATGATGAAAACAAAAGGTATTTTATGTCCTGAATTAACTGTTCTGCACACTGTTCCCACATTCACCACACAGGTACAGTTGAGTACCAGATCTTTTCTGAGGTATAAATGAACACAAAAATGACATTCAGTAGGCGCCTCCATAGCTTCTAGCTTGCTCCTGGAAATGCAGTTTTGGACACAGGCGATGTTGGTTTTTTCCTGCAGAACACAGAAACACCTTAGAGCAATTGTCCAGAATTGGTGCAGAAGTTGGCTGCTGGATGCCCCTCCCAAAAAGTGGTCTTATGCAGTTCTCATAACCACTTGCTGTAAAGGGTCTGAGCCACAGCTGCTGAAGTTAGAGGGAATTGCTTCCCAGCAGTGTTCAGGTGTGGTTCTTGCAAGTTTGCTCATTAACAGGCTGTGAAAGAGGTATGGCATAACTGAGTTAGTGCAGTGCCAGGAAATCTGTCAGGGAGTGCATACTGTACACTGGAAATCCACCAACAGCTGTTTGGTAGGTGATTGATACAGAACTAGGGAATCACAGCAGATTGTTAAAGGAATCCTTTCCCTTTTAATGCTGAGTAGATATTTAGCAAGGGACTTTCACACGTGCGTTGTCAATGGACTTTTTTTTTCCTTTGAAAGTAATGGGAGCTTTTTTCTTTTGAGAACAGAGGGAATAGTTGAGTCAGCACAGTGTCTTCCCATGGCAATCTATCCTCAATCACCCATCCTCTCCTGGTCATAGACGTCAGTGGGACCTCAGACTCTAGGCAGCTTTGGCCACAGGACTAATAGTTGTCCAGCTGCCTTCACCATGTTAAATATCTGCCAAGTAATAGTCGTGCTCTGTCACAGCTATTGTCACGACTCTGTCATGATTCATAGGGATGAATTTTAAAACCAAATTCTGTCTGTGAACGTGAGTGGCACCATGTTTTTTTAGAAAACGGGTGCATCCTTATCTAGATTAATACTTCTTCATGCTAAGACTGTGGAACTAGTTTTGTCAAAAATACCAGTTCTATTGCTATTTCTTAGCAAACAGTAATGCTAACACTTAATTTACACATTGAGAGGCTTTACTCTTGCTGTGTTTCCATTTTTCCATCATAGACTTCTGTGTGCAGACACTAATCTTTACCAATAAGAGTTTGATGCAGATGAAGAGACATTAAGTTGTATCTACTGCCTTTAGCTATAAAAAACACACTGGATAAAATAAACCCTTACTTGCTAAGCAAATATGTGCAAGTGTGCTGTGAAACTTGGGTGACATCATTCCTGAATTCAACAAATCTAGGGATCCCAGCCCCAATCTGCCCTCTGGGCAGCAATACAGTGTTCCCTTGATATTTGCTATTAGTTGAACATTAATTGCTCTGAAGTTCCCAAAATGCCCTTGGAATTGTGTTGAAAGCAGGAGTTGTAATGCTTTCATTTCTGTACTACCAAACTAAAAAGGCTTTAGGTCAGTGCCAATGTGAACCAGTAGTCAGGAAAGGGGATGTATATGCACGTTCAGATTTTTATTTTTTTAGTGCAGAATAAAGAATATCCAAATAAACTGAGCTAAATTCAGGTGCTCTGAGACTCTGCTGTAATTCTGGTCAGGATGACATTTTTTCTCACAGGCGTTAGGTGGACTGCTGGAAATGGAGCAGAACTTAAAAATGACCTAGGGTTCCAGGAAGCCCTCTAAGATAGGCAGAAGGTTGGTAAGTGCCACTGCTGAAGTGGTGAGGTGGTAAAAGACTCTGCCTGCGGGGACAGCAGGATGTGGCCATCACCCAGGTAATGGGGTGAGCCTCCTGTCACCGTGGCACAACTCTGACAGCACTTGGCTCTCATCTCCCCAGTTATTTTTGGCAGCACTTCAAGAAGGCAGTAATACTGCTGGAAATGGCAAGGAGTGGAGCAGACAGGCTCCGTGCACGCAGCCCAGCTCAGCCCAGAGGATGAAGGCAGGAAGCTCACTAGGGTCAGTGTTTATTTAAGTACCCTTGTTGGTTTTTTTTTCCTCTGGAGCAGCAATGGAGCTGAAATTAAGTCAGTTCTCTCTTCAGCTTCCTCTGGTGCAAAAGCCAAATCAACTCCATCCAGTGGAGCCACTCCCTCCAGATTTGTTCATGTAAATTTGAGAGGGGATGTCACAGAAATTCTCTGCACATGGAAAGTTTCTCAGCTGGAAAATGTATACTTGTCTTTCTTAGAAACTGCAGATTTTCCAGTATTAAGGTTCCAATGGCTTCTCATCTATCTCAGAGCTTTTTAACAACTACATAGGAAATCAAGTTCATAGCCTATCTACATTTTAAAGAGATGATGGCAATGCCCTGGGAAGCAAAATGCCTGTTTTCTCTCCTGATTCATTTTCATAATCTGCACAAATCATGAAATTAAGCCTGGCAATGCTTAGTAGTGCTGGTGTAACAGAATAGCATGCTAGCAGAATTAAGGATCAGTATTTCTGGTCAGAACTTTTGCCTTCAGCTTTTGTTTTCTGATGCATATAGTTATTTCAAAAGATACTCAGTTTGGTGAAATATAATTGAGCACAATATTAAGTCTTCTGGGTTGAGCATTCTTTGGTGGGGAGTGCCACGGGAGCAGCCATCAGAGGTAAGGTTGGACCTTTCACGGGATATGCCAGGGAGACCAGGAATTGTGAAGTCCACCCAGAACGTACACCTGTATTACATTGTCACTTGTTTCTTTGGTTCTCCTCCTCTTCAGCAAATAGCCATTGCTCGAGAAGGTGACTTGCTGACCAAGGAGCGGCTGTGCTGCGGCTTGTCCATGTTCGAGGTCATCCTGACACGAATTCGGAGCTACCTGCAGGACCCAATCTGGCGTGGACCACCCCCAACAAATGGGGTCATGCACGTGGACGAGTGTGTGGAGTTCCACCGGCTCTGGAGTGCCATGCAGTTTGTGTACTGCATCCCTGTGGGCACCAATGAGTTCACTGCAGAGTGAGTGTCCAGTACCCAGCTCTGCTATTAGCTCATGGGCCCTTAGCTGCAGCAATAGCCACAGCCAGCACAGAGGTAGAGAGAGAACATGGGTACCTGAGGACAGGACTTTGTTGGATGTAGATCTAAAGAGATGCCCCCAAAGCTTCCCATCTGAACGACTGGGAAAAGGGGAGAAGGGAAAGAGGAGTACAGAGAAATGTCCAAGGTGCCCTGCAGAAAGAAATGGGTAGCCTAAGTCCAGGTTGGAGGCAAAGTCCTCATCCATTGTACCCTGTGATGCACCATGCATAGCCTGGTTCTGTCCTAAGATCATTTTTTTTCTCTAATTACATACCCACTTTCCATCAATAGGACCAATTTCCCCCACCAAGAAAAGTTCCTGGTCTCATGTTAGGACAGCATTTACCTAACTCCATCCTGATATCTCTTCATCCCATCACCTTGTCCCCATTCTAGGCAGTGCTTTGGAGATGGTCTGAACTGGGCAGGTTGTTCTATCATTGTTCTCCTTGGGCAACAACGACGCTTTGACCTATTTGACTTCTGCTACCACCTGCTGAAGGTGCAGAGGCAGGACGGGAAGGATGAAATCATTAAAAACGTGGTAAGTTGAAGGGTAAGGCTCCAAAAGACCTGAACTAGCACACATCTCTGTTTTCCGACTTGCCTTGTTCAAACTCATAAATAACAAACTTTCCAGGCATTGATCTTATTCAAGCTGGATATGCTTGCTGTGAGATTTCCACCTGCAGTCTCAGCAGATAGGCCAGGATTTTAATTGGCTTGACAATCAAATCTTTCGTCTCCCAAAGCTTTTCCTTTCTTCCTGGGGTTAGGAAGCTGTAGCAGAGAAGCTGGTATTTCCATCAACCATTCTCTGATCTCTGTGGCTTTATCAATAAGCAGCTGGGAGTCCAGACTCTAGATCGATTAACATAGAACCACACACTAACCTTGTTAATTCTGTCTTGAGTCACCAAATCCTATAATGAAGTGAGTCACCAGTCTCTGGAAACTGCTAAGTGGAACTGTAGCACGTGCTTTGTATTAGCAGAGGTTTCTCAGCAGCAGGGCAAATGTACTGATACTTTCTGGCTGGTCAAATGACATAATACTCTCTGTTTTTCTTTCTCACCATCACTCCAGCCCTTGAAAAAGATGGCTGACAGGATAAGGAAGTATCAGATTCTGAACAATGAGATTTTTGCCATCCTGAACAAGTACATGAAGTCGGTGGAAACAGACAGTTCCACAGTGGAGCATGTGCGCTGCTTCCAGCCTCCCATCCACCAGTCACTGGCCACCACCTGCTAGTGTGACACTAACCCTTTGTGCTTTGGGAAGGGAGAAGAGACTGAGCCCAGGATGACTGGGAGGATGAACTTGATGGCGTGAGACCTGGCAACAAAGTAAGACTGGGTATGCTCACTACAAGGACTTATCTTCCCATCTGGCCCTGTTGAGTGCATGTTCTTCTGTTCCATCCCTGTGACCAATTTTACTTGTAGCTTTTGGACTTGGGAGTGGGTGGGGGTGGGAGGGTGAAATGTGCTTTTCTTCCATGAAATCTGGTTTTCCCTGTGATTCATCCAGCCAAACACAAAAATCTGAAGCCATATTGCAGCCCCAAAGGTGGGGGATCCTGTCAGAAGAGCTGCGTGTTGCTACTGCGCCGGGAGCCCACTCCCACTGCAAAAGCAATGGGGAAAATCAACCCCACCCATGACACGTGCCACCACAAGACAGACCCTGACTTCTTTTTGGGGAAGAAGGGATGAAAGCAGGATTTCACCTACGGCAGCAGCCTGAGGAAGGAGTAGTGCAGAGGAGCTGTGCTGGGCTGGTTGTGCTGGATTGCTTCCTGCTCTCTGCCAAGTTGTTGGCCTTCCTAGCATCTGGCACTTGGGTTTCAAAATAGCAATGATGTAGCTGCCAAATAACTCCTCAGCATTTCAGAGAGCTGGGGGAATCAAAAAAGGCCTGTTTTGGCTTTTTTTCCACTGCTATTGGGATGTCCACTTATTTTATTTCAAAGGGTTCTCCCTTGAAGACACACCTTCAATGAAGTAAACAAAATTTCTTATGGACCATGGAAGAGGTTGCATTGGATTCATGTGAATATGCTTTTGCACATGCTAACTTGAGTGGAAACAGACACTGTTCCTGACAGGAGGCAGTTGTATTTACCTTGACCATGTGTGACCTTTGATATTCAGCCAAGGATGAGAGCTGGGATGTGTAATTTTTGTATGTTCTGGCATGCTATTTTCCCTTGTTTTAGATAGTCACAGCAACCAATTTTTATTTATTTATTTTTTAAGAGAATGGTGTCCATCAGCAAGGCTTAGTAAACTTCCCATCACACAGAAATGATACGATTCTTTAGAAAAGGTAAAACATAGGATAAGCATAATGAAAACAGCAATTTCCAGGCTCGAAAGCCTTCTGAGGGAACACCAGAGTCTGTTTCCTACTCCTATTCAGCTCATCTAATATCTATGGATGTATTAGATACTGGGAACAAATTCAGTAGGGACTTCAAGGAGATATTCAAAACTTGTGGTTTTCCCTTTCCTCTTGGTGCTGTCACCACAGTGACACAAAACGTTGTGCCTGAAGCTAAACAAGATCAAACCACATGCTCCAGGAGGAAATTATGCTAATGTCACCACTGGCAATATTTTTATTTCTCAGCTTTAGCCAGGACACAGCAGATAACTACTGTTTAAATAGACAGATTTGGTAATAGATGTTATTTTCGTGCAAATTCCATCATGCCTTGTAACCTGCATGCTCCTACAGATGTTGAAAAGGCAGAGCCTGGGCCCTTATTCTCTCAAAAGAAATACATCATTAATTAGTAGGAATGTCCCAGCTGGAATGCATTGTCTTAGAAAACAACAGCAAGCACTGTATTAGTGCTAAAGGAGATCTTGCTGTGTGGGATGCATTTGTTCTCCCACACACTCACTCCCTCATGATCAACGAATAATCCACACATGGAAGAGCTGAACATCTTTACACCTTGAGTCTTCTTTAATCGCTGAGACAAATGCTTGAACCTCTGGGAGAAAACAGTGCAGCACAGTAATCTGAAAGTCAAATGGCATCTCAGGAGATTGGGCTGAACCCTTTGGGTGCCAGGGAAGGATCCAGCTTCTGGAAGCAAGTTGTTTCCCTCACACTGTGAAGAAGAGCAGCACAAGAGCATCCAAGACCCAACAATACCAAAGGACTCCTGCTCTCTATTTACTTTCTCCACTATTGATGCCAGTTCTGGTTTTCCATTGTGTTCCAACACCTTACACTGCTGAAACTACTGAATTGAGGGAGTTTACAGATATATATTTTTAAAAGGAAGAGGAGAATTGAGCACTTTATTTTTTGTGAAAAACAAGATACGAGGAAGATAGATCCGACCAAGATCCTATTTTCCTGACCTAAATAGCAAGTGCTTGTTATTTTGGTATGAAAGTGTTGCTGATGAAGTGGCACAGATCCCTGAGCGGCTCTCAGAGCCATCTCTGAGCACAGCACAAATTGAATGTTCTACGATGTCTGATATGTTATGGGATGTTGGAGCCCTGACAGAAACCAGCAAGAGCAAGAACACAGAAGGATGAGCTATGCCACACAGCCCAGTCACTCACAGCTAGCAGACAGAACAGGATATCCTAAGTTGAATATAAGTCTCTTGTTTAGGTTTGCAGTGAGACAGGAGATTTTTTACCTAAACATGTCTATCATGGCATTCTTTTGCTGCAGCTTTGGCTTAATTCTCTGAGAAAACAAAACAAAACAAAACAAAAAAACCCACAAACCTGCAAAACACAGCTGGGTGTACTTGAATGAAAAGGTAGAAGAAATGTATTTTTTTTTTTTGCCCTCAGATTTGCTGTCAGTAACAAACTCCTTCCAGTTCTGAGGGATGACACATTTTGAGCAAGATGTCCAAAGTGCATGAACAAAATGTAAAGTGTTTCTAACTGTAGATGTTTTTGCCTTGTTGCTCAAGTAGTATGAGATCAGCTAGGAATAACCATATGCTCCTCACTTTCTGAGATTTGATGTTATTGTCCTTATGTTAAGAATCTACCTGCTTATTATTATTATGTTAAGAAGCTACCTGATTCAAATAGTCTTTAGCTTGTTTTCTAATCCCCTCCCTCCCCTCCCTTTGAATCTATAAAAGAAAAGTTCAGACTTATGTCTTCAAAGAACCTAGTGAAGCAGAATTTTTCTCTTCATTTTTTTTTAATGTCATAATTATTAGTGAAAATAGGGGAGAAAGTAGAGCTAAACAACAGATTGCCAAGGGGTCGGGCATATCCTCCACACTGGAAAACTTTCTGCCAATTTTGGATGTCTTCCTTGCAGATATGCTCTAATTCAATCTGCACAGCCCACATTATTTTTTCCTAGGGAAACATGGACCCCTATATGGATAATTTAAGTCAACTGACTATGGGCATACCTTTTTTTAACCTACGTTTTCCCAATTACTCTGAAGTAGTTGTAACTCCTTGGGGATTACCAACCATCGCTTGGAATGCCTACTTCAGAGACAAGTTGCTGACTTGATACAGAAGTTAGAGAGAGGGAAAAGGATGGTCTGTGTAATGAGCAAAGTCAGACTAGATGATTGTAACGTTCCCTCCAGCTTTAACATTTGAAATGTGACTATTGGCAGTGCAAATGCCTTTCTTGGATGATGCTACACTTGATTCTCAGAGATCTAATAGAAAGGAGAAGCAAACTTGTTCAAACTTAGCACTTCAGTGGTTTTTCTTTTAAACTCCAGCAGCACTTACTAGCACTGAACGTTAGTCTTTTTTCTCCTGCGTTACTCCAGTCCAGTAGGTTTGTGTGTGTTTGAGAACAAAAGAAAAAATAATTGAAGGTGTAAAAAAAAGAAAATATTCTCAAAAGCTCTTGTCAAATGTACCATATTTGTATGAAAAGCTGCTTGAGTTATTTTGTACAATGAGTTTTATTTATGGTGAGGTATATTTACGCTCGTGGTCTGATACAGTGTTAAATTTTTGATCCATATTTGCTATGCAGCTGAAGATGATATTTTGGTTTTGTATTATTTTTTGCTGTTGTTCTAAAATTCAGCTAACAGAAGCTTCCATATCCATTAGAAATGCTTCTGCAAGAGTAAAGCATCTGGTACATGGTGATATGTCCCGTAACACAGCAACAACAGTGTGTGCAACAAATGTGGGATGACTTTTGTGATGAAGAGAAATAAAAATTGGGCTCATTCATGAAATGGGCAAACTTTATCTCATGGTGTCACTGTCATTTGTAGTAACTGTTATTTGAGGAGAGACTCTGATCACACCTGGCAAAAGGAGAACACTAAGAGGGATGATGGCAGCATTTTGTTGCTAAAAAAATGTCAAGATTTTGTCAAAAACTACAAAGGAAACTGAAACTTCATGGCCAACAGCAAAACAGACCAACAAATTTCCCTATCAGAAAGTTGGTCTTTGAGGGAAACATAATTCTGCCACAAACTTTCATTTGAAAACTTGTGGAAGGGAACGGGGGGGAAATTATAGAACTATCTGTAATAGCATTTGACAGGCCCTAGTCAAAACAAAGCTAAATGAGCTCATCTCACTACCACAACCCTACCAGCTTCACAGGGACTTTTCATCCCAGGAGACAGCCCTTGCTATTTTCTTCCAGATTTCCATTTGCAGCCATTCTTTGGTTCCTATTAAAAGCCCCAAGAGCTGCTGGGTGCTGGAGCCTGGAGCCACCCCTTGCACTGAGCATCCAGCTCTGAGAGTCTGACTATTGGATAACCAACCCTAGCAGATCATTACCAAAACCACAGACCTACATCCTTCTTTCTTGTGTATCTAAGTATCTTTATGTCCTCAGATTAATGGCACTCTGCCACTGAGAGTAACAGTTCATGAATGATTGCTTCACAGTTTCAGCTGTAGCAGAGACCCTTGCTGTAACTCCTGCAAGCCAGCAGCACCTTTTGAATCTAGTTTTGCTTCATGTAGAGCTCTGATGCAAACACCCAGCAGTTAAGAGCTCTATAAACAAACACTCTGCTGCCTGTATGTCACTTCACCTCACAGCACGTGCTGCTGATCTGAAGCTTTAGGGCTTCCGTTGCCCACAGAACATCCACCCTATCCATCACCAACCCACCACCTCTCTTCTGCCACCATCTGTAGTTTATGGGGGCTCAGGGACCCAGATGATTATACTGATCTGGATAGAGAAAATAACCCCACAAGTGAAGCAGGACGTGCTTATTATGGCCTTATGAACCTGCACAGCTCAGCTGCTCTTCAGCAGAACTACAGATACTCACTCTGGCACTGGGAGGGCAGCACAAGAGTGGGAACCCGTTGTAGGTGTGACAGACTGGGAACTCCAAGCTGGTGTCATCTGAACTCCTGCAGTGTGAAATGACAGCCCCAGCCACTGCAGGCAGGGTTACCTGGAGAGAGAACTTGAGCTAAAAGCTGTCTGCTCAACCACATCCA